TGTATGTGTGTGTGGGGGGCGTCACGATACACATGTGGATGCGTTCTCGGGTGTCTGTATCTGCTGTGCCTTCAGTTGTCACGATGAGATGTCGGCCATCGATATCATCAACATAAAGGCAACCCAAGAGAGAGAGGGAGACGAGCTGCACCCAATAGTTCTAAGCTACAGGTCTGTCTTGTCATCTGTAGGAGTTGTCCGCCCCGTCCACCCCCACCGCCACTGACGTGTTGCCATCGCCCCACCAGATGGCCATCGTGCTGAGCCCATACGACGCCACACACGACATGCTGCTACTCAAGGACCCATACAGGCAACCCCAACACACCCCACACAAGTTGCCCTCCTTCACTTATGTCTCCATCCATCCATTTATGCAGGAAGTCATTGTCTGGTGTTGACCATGGGTGTCCAGAGATCATCCGGCCGCCCACAGAGCCCGTGTGTGACATGGTGCCGCTGCCGGTGGCCAAGGACACCTTTCTGTCGTCTGCCGTGCTGAGTGGTGGGGATGGCGCTGGGGGCGGTGGGGGTGAGGGGAGTGTGGGTGACGGCGGCCAGCCCGCAAGACGTCGTCGCGGCAAGACCACATCGGTCCCGCTGCCGCCGTGGAGGACAAACAAAGGTGCGTGGGGGTGGCAGGGGGGTCATATGTGTCTTTTGATTGGTTTGGTTGGTGGTCTGTGTCAGCGTATGACGTGTACCGTGATGGCGGGGGGCAGCAGCCGCCCCCTTGTGTGAGTGAGGATGTCAAGAGTCTGCTCGAAATCGCAAAAATCGTGGAAGGTCATGAGACACGACTGACGTCCGTTAGCCAATCTGTGTCTGTTTTTGCAGGTATTGGGCAGCACTACTCGTCCGACTCGATGGCGATACACTCGATGGCCGACCCCATCACGGCCACACACACACAACACCATGACAAACATGGTGAGGATCTCGACCCATCACTCGCACACCAACAAAGGCTTTCCCAATGCCATTGTGTCTGTACGTGTCTCTCCCCCTCTGTCCGTCAGCTGCTGTTATGGCTGTGGATGTGTCTGATGAAGCCCCCCGCACGCCCCAGCCCAAGGCCGCTTCCCCTGCCCGCCGTGTCAAGCGCGAGAGCAGCACACCGGCAGGCAGCGCCAATGAATACGACAACCATAAGGAGGGCACATCGGGGCGGCTGGACGGGCGACATTACAATGAAAACAACAATAACAGCGCTGCAGGTACACACAAAAGACACAGAGAGAGACACCACCGCTCCCACCGTTTTTGTGTGGGTCTGTCTAGGTGTATGTGTTGGTGAGCGTTCGGGTGAAACGTCGGGCCAGGGGGATGACGTCATGCAGCTGTGGGATGACGGCCGCAGGAGCCCATCCCACAACAAGCGCAAGAGGTGCCCCACACCGCCCCCCCGGGTGTGCACGACGGCCCGCTTCGACGTCTCGCCGGCGCCCAAGCACCCAATGCTGTTCATACCCAAACGAATGCGGTGCGCTCAGCAGCACACTTGTAGCGATACATGCGGGCTATGCTCTTGTGTGTCTCGCCCGTGTGATGTTGCCAGTTTGGCTTACGAGTAAGTGAGATCTCTCTGCGGCAGTATTGTCCCACTCCCCATCTTGTGCCGGCCTCCAGATCATACACAGATCCATCGCCGCATACACATACACACACTACGGACCCGTTCGTCGCCTTCAGACAGACAGACAGACGGACTTCAGTACCTATCACGACCCCCCGACAGACCGATGGACAAACCTTGTCCACATGGATGCATGGACTTAGTGCATGAGACTGCATGCGCGTGCGTGTGTGTGTGTGTGTGCGCTCATGCATTGTGTAGGTGGTTGCACTGCCAAAGGCAGCTCACATGCCTGGATGGATGGATGGATGAATGAATGGATGGCGGCCGAGGCGGTGGGACATTGCTTCAATGCTGGAACAGTGCACAGCACAGAAAAACAGACAGACACCAGGACACACGACCCAAACCGTCAAACGCTTGTGCACCGTGTACACTTTGTTGCACATTTCGTGCATTTCGTCCGACTCAGTAAGAATGGCAGCGCCATCAGCACTGTGGCGCTCCCCCCTTTTCTGTCTGTGCCTCGTCACTCTAGTCACAGTGGCACAGACTCAGTGGGACAATGGTACTGCTCCTGTTGGTGCCAGTCCGGATCACGAAGGTGAGATGTCTGCATCAGCAGCTGAAAGGATCAGCAGCAGCATGGCATCACCCGTATGTCTTCCTCTGTGCAGAAAAGAGTGACTTGACATGCCCTGGTACAGGAACGTCTGCCTCGTTCCTGTGGCATGGTCTCACCGTTATCGAGGCAAGGGCTGCTGACGACTACGCACCAAGTACGTACCTTCACAGGGGTACGGAGATCGTGCATCGGCCGACTGATGAGGATGAGGGCAACATTACGGGAAAGGAGCAGCAGCCCACTGCAATGCCTAAGGAGATCGTGCATCGGCCGACTGATGAGGATGAGGGCAACATTACGGGAAAGGAGCAGCAGCCCACTGCAATGCCTAAGGAGATCGTGCATCGGCCGACTGATAAGGATGAGGGCAACATTACGGGAAAAGAGCAACAGGCCACTCCAATGCCTCGCATTGATGACTCTCGTGGGAAGGGAGTAAACTGCGAAACGGACGAAGAGGGCATGAACATAACGGGTGAGGAGTAGAAGTATCAAACCACAACAACCTTCGCTCCTGGGGCGACAGATTGGCCGAAAGGCCTGCTTGCAATGCGCACTCACGTCGTGTCTTGTGTGTGTGTGTGTGATGTGGGCGCTTCAGATTTCTCTGCAACTGACAGTGAATTCATCAATGCCCGCGACAGAAATGAAAATCTGATCGGTAAGCCGTGTAATCGATCGGTGTCTTCACCCACCTGTGTGCCTGCCTGCCTGTCTTCCTGCAGTCAATGGCGGGCCTTTTGATGGCAGGCGAAACGGCCCGCCAATGATTGAGAAGGCAGTGGAATCCAGCTCTCGAGAGCAAGAAGGGCCGTCACTGGAGAAGCTGGCTGAGAGTCTGAAGGGATTGTTGCATCCTTGATCAAGTGAACGGAGGCTGCATACGCGCGTCATGTCCCTGGGCTGAGTGGCAATTTGGCGGTCTTTTCTCTTCCCGTCGTCTGTGTGTGTGTGTGTGTGTGTCGCTGTGTGTGTGTCGCTGTGTGTGAGTGCGGGTGTCGGTGTGTGCGTGTGTGTCGGCTGCATGCTTTTGTGTGTGAATGTCTTTCTACATTGCGTGTACACCGAGCGGCCCGCAAAATGTGCGCCGGTACGCTCTCTTTTTTCTGTTGTGTGGTGATTGATGCCTCTCTAGTTGACGTCCACCGACGTTGACAAGTGTTAATGTCTCTGTGCGCGGGACAGCGGATAAGGCCGCTTGGCCTGCCGAACTCGTGTATGCGGTTTGTCCCTCGCTGACTCATGATCAGTTAACCCCTTCCCGTGTGTGTGGGGCCTGTGCTGTGTGGATGGCCTTGATGGGATGTCGAAAGGGACGTGTATACGTACAATCCGGACCGCGTAAGTGGGTCACCGCATAAGCGGGTCAGTTGCGTATGTGGGTCAGCCCATCCCGATCACTCTGTACACAGTCAAAAACGGACCGGATAACCGGGTCACCTCCCAAAGAGACTCAAATCAGCCATCCAAACCAACCATTTATGGCTCAAAATGACCGCAAGACGATAAAGAACCTCTCTGTGAAAGAGCGGACCGATGAAAGTGTGATCCCATCGAGAAATACAGACATTTTGATTGTCATCTTCTGAGATGATCGACGGATTTCGTAAATTTGAGTGACTTTGAGCGAGAAAAAAAGAGTCAATGGGCTTCTGAGAGGCTCCTGTGATTCATTCACAGCGAGATATCACTCCAAAAGTCGCTGGAAAACAAGTGGGTCAGCTCTGCAGTACGTAGAAGCGGGTCAAACGCGTAAGTGGGCCAGCCCTGTACCGACCCACTTACGCGGTCCGGACTGTACGTAAGTCACCGATGAATTCAACGCGGGTCTGCAGCAATGCATGCCACGATTCAACGACGAACGGACGTCGACAAAGCGCTACCCCACAAGTCGTGTGAGAGGCTTTTGTGATTGGGAAATGCACGCACACAGAGCATACAGAACCATGCGATGGATGGACAGCGGGATACTATGGGTGGGAGCTGTGTTTTCGGACTGATGCGTTGTGTCAGGCGTGCATCCCTTGTGTGTGGTCGGGCGGGTAAAGCCAGAGGCCAACGTCACGGAAAGGAGAAAACGTGGGGGCGCGATTCTCGCCGACGCAATTTGCGAGACGGCCCATTGTTCATTAATTTTGTTTTCGTGTTTTTCGAAATAAACTTTCCCGCCATCCTCATTCCTTTCGCTCCATCCGCATTGGCGGGCCTGACCACCACAGGATCGAAGGGATTTCTCGCCTCTGCGTTCTCCTCGCTGTCGGCTTCCTTCACGCCTGAATCGCACGTTGAATCGCTCGCTCATCTGCCTGCCTGGTATGTGCGAGTGTGGTGGAACACGGGAAGGGACGGAATCTGTGTTGATGCATTGTTGATGTGCTGTTGGTGGCAGGTGGCGTCGTCGGCCTCTTCCGGTCGAAGGCGCCCAGATCAAGGCGCACGGGTCCGACCCACGGGACTGAGACAATAGCGTCTGCTGGTCTGTTTGGTGTGGCATGCAGGGCTTGTTTGGTGTGTTATCTTCAGCCGACTCTGGCTTTGACGTCCTAACGACTTTCGAGGCCGAGCAGCACTTCATCACTGAGGCTCTGATCAACCCCAACATCCAGCTGAAACGCTCCGCCCCGGGAGCCGACGCAGCTTGGCGTCGTCCTGGCCTGCCGCCCCGACACCCGACGCGACGCAGCCTGCCCCGCTTCCCCCTCCCCCGCCATGACTGAATCGAAGTCTTTCAAAGTCCACCCTCCGGACGGCAGACCTTTTGTGCTCCTTTTCCCAGTGGAGCGCGGGCGCCGTCCGGACGCAGAGGCGCTCCTGCAGCACCTGCAGAGAGACGGGCGCGTCCTCAGGTCAGTGGAGCATCCGGTTATTGACATAGAGGAGTCCCGTTCTTCAGCCGTCGACTACATCACCAGAATCACCAGTGCGCTCGGCTTACTGACAGACAGACAGACAGACGGACGGACAGACAGACGGACGGACAGACGGATGGACGGACGGACAGGCAGGCTTGACGAGGGGTGTGTATATATCATGCTTTCCCTCGTCTGTCTGTGTGCCAGGACTTCCAGTGGCTGGAGCGGCTCACGTCGGTCATCAAGAACCGAGGCCAACTCATGAGGCCAGCAGGACAGACCACAGAGAGAGACGTGCACACACACAGGCGATCACTTCTTCTGTTTCTCTCTGTGCGTGCCGTCCTTTCGCTCCTTCAGCCTTCTGTGCAACCTAAAGGTGCTGGAGCTGATGAATTTCCCCGCGAAGCCGGCTGTCCCCGGACGAAGCCTGGCCGACGAGCTGACGGCATCGCTGAAGCGGTCGTTCAAGACCCTCCTGCTGCAAATGCCCGAGCTGCCCCCCGCGCCGACTACACCCGTCAAAGCCGGGCAGTACTGGTGTGACGACGACACCTACATCTCCCGCGGACGCGGCTACCTGGTCGGCATCTGCCGGCTCTTCGAAGACCTGCTCCTGTCGTCCGTGGTGGTCCCCATGGACCCCAACAAACTCGGTCAGTCAGCTGAGCAACCCAGGGGCGATCATGCGACTGCCTGTCGGTTCCTCTGTGTAGCTTGCTGCACACACGATGGGATGGAGACGGAGGAGGACAGCTGTGAGAGTGGGCACGCGGCTGCTGCTGCTGGTCTGACCTGCCCCACTCCGGGCAGCCCATCAAAGGAGGAGTCGCCGAGAAATCTCGCGGCGCTGCTGAGCGACTACATGGACGAGGAGGTCCCCGAAGGTCAGAACGGTCCGATCAAAATCGCTTCTGGCCTGAGAATGGAAAACCGGCGGGGCGGTAGGCCGTCTCAGCAAAGGCTCGACAGACAACCAAAGAGCAGAAAGGACACACTTGCCTGTTCTCCTGTTTGCCTGTGGCCATTCAGAGCCGTATGGCGATGTCATGCGTGATCTGCTGGGGCGGGCCGTGGGACGGGTGAGGACAACACGCACGAAAAGACAAGCCTCTACTACGGTAGGCCTTGAGTCAATGTGCGTTTGTGTGTGTGCACAACACCTGATGGACGCGCTGTTGTGTTCGTGGTCTCGTGTGTGATCGATCAATCAGCTGCCCCCTACGGCTACCCCGATGCGGGCTACTTCCACCGGGCCACGCGTAAGCCACACACAGCATTTATGAATGGCGGGGATGTGGGCGACTGAGTGGCTGACTCTTGTATCTTCCCCCATTCCTTGTGTGCGCAGAGGAGCTGCGCGCCCGTGGCATCATTCCGACGGCGTTGGAGCAGACACTGCTGGATGGCGACCCCACGCCCTTGGGTACCAAAGACTACGCCAACCCGCATAAGTGACTACCTCACCTCACGCACGCGCACACATTTCCGCGCAAGATGATGCACATGGGTATTGATGGATGTGCGTGCAGCGTCCAAGGGACGCCTGCTCAGATGCCCACGTGGCGTACGACACAAACCACCGTGGCGGTCCGCAAGACGGCAGTCGAGACGTCCCTCAAACTGGCCGCCATCGGCGACCGCCAGCCGACACAAGGCGACATGCATGACACGGCGACCGCCATGATGGAGGCCTTCCCTCTGCTCGACATCGGTGAGCGAGGCGCATGTATTTCTAGGTGCGTGTAGGAGAGCGTGTGTCTGTTGCATGCAGGGCGTCGGGCTGCAGCGCTGCACATTCTCGAGACCGACTTCACCAACACTCTTCGCCAGCTGCAGGGCTCAGTGCCGGTGTTGTTTGAAAGCACCGAACTCAACACACAGGCAAGCACGCCAACAGGATGCCGGTGAGGGTCTGAAGAGAGCGGCGATCGAGGTGGTTGGCCGTGGCAGTGCGGTTGCTGAGACCATCCCACTGTCTGCCCCCACAGAAGAGGTCATGGTGGGTTGAGACATGTACACACACACAGGTGCACACCAATTCGCATGTCTCCATGTGTTCCATGTGTGTGTCAGATGGCTGCCTACATTTTATATTCTGTGGCTTTATGCATCCATCTCGCCGCTTCGCTGTGTCGCTCATCAGCCCGGCCGCCAGGAGCGGCGGGCCCGTCTGTCTCCGCCGTCAGGAACCCACCGCCACATGGACATGGACGCGACAGCGGCACGTGGATTTTGAGGACGGCGACGACCAGCCATGGACGCAGGCAGAGCGGGAGGCCTTGGTTCGCCTGTTTGTGAAGGTGGGCGACATCGCAGGCGAATTCCTGACGGCCTTCCCCACACGCGGCGTCACAGCCATCGACACTTACCTCAAGGGCGAGGTCCGCGAAATGGTCAAGGTGCGGCGAGAGCAAGGCGAGACCCTCCTGGAGGCGGCCAAGCGATACGTCGCCCGGCTGGATTGGCTGGAGGCCAAGACGCGACAGACGCCAGCAATGCCCAAGGAGTCCATCGAGATCAAGAAGGTCATCAAGGATGAGGGCGATGAGGGCCACGAGGATGGCGCACGGGAGTCCTCGCCTGCTGCTGCGGCTGCGGCATGCCCCATGGTCACAGACACAACAGACCTGCGTGAGGCGTAGATATCTAGAGCAGACAGATAGGCAGACAGACAGATGTGGCGGGTGTCAGTGAGGGCAGACAGGAGGTTTACAGCGGGGCGATGAGGGTATTCGCCGTAGTGTGAAATTGCCTGTGTGTTGGCTGCTTTTCACTGTCACATCTCTGTGCGGCTGGCTGGCTGTGCATGGATGTCGTCGGCGTGTTGTTTTGCTTTTGCCGGTCGTCTGCGAGTTTGACAGCGGCAGAAGGCGGCTGTCTCTCTGTGCGCTTGTCTTTGGTCTGTTTGGCTGTGTATGTATCTTTGGTTCAGGAGGCTCGGCTGGAGGCGAGGCTGCTGAAGAAGGCCCAGCACGACAACATACGAGACGGAGAGCTTTTTCTATATCGGTACACAGCAGACTATCACACACAACGAGCTTGACGATCCATCTCCTCTTTCGTCATGTCCTTTCTTTCCTTGACTCTTTTAGTGATGGACCGTTACATTGCGGTCCTTGAGCAGCAGCTGAAGGCCTTCACCTACAGCGCCAGGGGGGGGTTGGCGGCAATCTACTTCGCGCCTGCTGCCGCCCAAATCCTCCTCGCCGTCGACCACCTCCACAAGCAAGAAATCTGCCACAAGTACACAGAATGACTGATGCGATGAAGACGTGTTTGCGCATAGTTATGGTCTGTCTGTTGTCTCTGTTCGGTGTCCTGTATGTCAGCGACATCAAGCCGCTGAACTTCTTTATTGGAGACGACGAGCGGCTTGTGTTGGCGGATTTCGGGTGTGCTATGGAGGCCGGCGACTGTTTCTTTAGGGGTCTGAGGGGAGGGTAAGCCGTGTCCACTTGATGGATTTATCTTTCTGTTCATATGTGTCCTTTTGTGCCTTCTGCAGGGGTGGGACACTGGCATATTCGGCCCCTGAGAGCCTGCGGCCAGTCTACAATTACGGCCTACAGGCCGACATGTGGAGCGTCGGTTAGCCCACTCACTCAGACACAAACAAACGCTCGGCCGTTTGTATACCTGTGATTGTCTTGTCTGAATGCAGGGGCGACATTACTCCAGATGGCAACCAAGCGGCTGCCCTTTTCTGGTCAGTGAGATGCGCAGAGCGCCTCTCACTTGGATATTTGTCATGCGCCTGCTTGTGTGGTGGTTGTCATTTCGTGCAGGGGCAAACGAGGAGGAGCTCAAGGAGAACGTCTCGAGCTTCAACCTGGACTGGTGGGCCATGAGAGTGCTGGAGTCGATGTGTGCGCCGGAGCTTCAGGACTTGATCACGAAACTACTCGTCAAGGGTAAGTGCATAAGACCGAACTCACTTTGTGTGTCTCCATCTCTTTCTTGCTGTATGTCTGTCTTTCTTGGCTCTGTGGACCTCTTTTGTCTGCACATGCAGAGCCCGAGCAGCGGCTGACGGCGGCACAAGCCCTCCAGCACCCGTTCGTCGCCGACGTCCTCAGGGCCATCCCCTGGGCCCACCAACGTCCGGACAAGCCTTCTCAACGGGTGACTGAGAGAATTGATTGATGCGGGTCTCTGTCTGCATTGAACGATCTGCTGTCTGTTTGTTTGTATGTTTATCTGCCTTAAGCCAAAGGAGAGGGGGGAGTGGGTCAAGTACCCCGGCAAGGCCGCCATCCCGCCCCTCGACGACCTGCGAAGACGGGAGCAGAGCACCTGGCGGCGGAACTGGGCGGGCGGCAGCATCAGAGATGCAGCCCCTCGGGTCGACACCGGCCTCCACGACAGACAGCCCCCTCGCCGCAAGACCGCCCCACGAGCCGCCTCTTATTTGCGGAAGCGGGAGTTGATCAGAAGAGGTCATGGTGGGTTGAGACATGTACACACACGGGTGCACAACAATTCGCATGTCTCCATGTGTTCCATGTGTGTGTCAGATGGCTGCCTACATTTTATATTCCAAGGCTCTTACCTTCTCGTCTCAACGTAGGCACCAAGGCAGCCAGCGGAAGATGGCCTCACTTGCGCAAGATGTGCGCCATCCCCACGCACATCAACGGCACCGACGTCTCTGAGGCCGCCAGCTGCTGCCGCATTCCTGTGATACGGAAGCAGGTCAAGGAGGACAAGAGGTGGCGGCTCTAGGACCGGTACGAGATGGTCGTGCACAACATCATGACACACCTGGCCATCTCACGCCTGGCGCAGCCACCCTCCCCACCTGACCCGCTCACCACCACGGCCGCCGAGCAGCAGCAGCAGCACGCCCACGCCGGCGTCATGGACGACAACACCGCCGGGTTCTTCAGGGAGCTGGCGGCGATCATGGTGCGGCCCGGCGGCCACGGGCAACCCGTTCTTCGCCACACCTACAGTCTGTAACATTTCGGAGGTAAGCACACGAGCGATACCGGCAGAGACGCTAAAATGTGATGGCCTGTGTGTATCAGGTGCCCAACGACGCCTCAACTGGGGAAGGGGGACGATCCGCTGGGATTCGTGAAATCCGAAGAGATTGCTGCCTACATTTTATATTTGTCGGATGGCTTTGCTTCAAACGCCCCGCTTCACATCGTTTCTCATCCCATCAATGTGAGCACAATCAGAGAGAGTGGCAGCCTCAAGAGTCAGGGGGCGGCATGCTGTCGTCTGTAGACACAGGACCTCCAAGACAGAAGCAGAATCTCCCAGGTCAGCTGTGGGACGCGCTATCCACAGCCGTCTTCCGTGTATGTGTGTATGTGTCTCCCTTTCTGTCCGTCCGTGTATGTCTTCAGCCGATGATGCGGCACAGGCCTAGTTCCTCTTCACACGCCATTTCTCGCCTGCGGGAATGGGCAGCGGCTGGGAAACGACGACACGACCACGGCCATCGAGGTGTGCGAGGCCGACGAAGTCCTGCCGCCCGACCATGCGGTGATAATGCCCCTGTTCCCCCCCGACCCCCCCACCAGCAACTCGGTGCTGCCGCTGCTCGATCAGCGCAAGCCGCTGCTGATGCAGCAGCACAACCTCCACACCGAGGAGGAGTGGGCGGCGTGGCGGGCCGAGAAGGCCAACAAGTCGGGGCTGTACTTCGGCGACACGGGGGACGTGTGCAGGGCGCTGCAGGTAGTGGGGGTGGAGGGAGTGGAGCAAAAGGTGGCGCGAGTGGTGATGATTAAGGACATGTTTGACAAGTTCATGATGATGCGTGAGGTGAGTCACGCACATTCATGAGAGGGGAGATGACAGACTGAGGGAGATGCGCTCATCTGTCTTGTCTCTGCGTCGGTGTGTGTGCAGACGAGGGTGCCGGTGGTGGATAGCGAGTATCGCAGCGCCCTCTCCAGCGCCACAGCCGAGGAGGACATCCTGGCGGCCGGGATGGAGCGGGCCAGGGGCGACAGCAGCGGTGCAACATTCTTGTGTGGGGACCTCACGCCATCCAACGCCCTGGTCGCCATCAGCAGATACGAGCTGCAGCTCAAGGCCGGGGGCACGGGTCGCTTCGTGCTACCGAGTGTGGTTTTCATCGACCCCAGCGGCACCTCTCGCGGCACGATCTCGGCCCTCTCCGGCAAGACCAGCTACGAGACCCTCGAGAACAAGCTGCTGGCCGAGCTGCCGAAGAAGCTGTCTGAGGGCGTCGACTGGGGGGACGTGGCGGGCTCTGGGCTGCTCGAGTACGGCGGCGCTGACGGCGGGGAGGACTTCGATAGCGGGGGCGTCGATAGCGGGGAGGACTTCTGGTCGGCCACCAAGTCGGCCATGGATGCCCTCCACCCGCCCGGCGTGTACGTCTCGAAGAGCCTGCCCCCTCCCAGGCATCGACGTCGACAAGACGGCCTACCTCTACGCCAGGTCCTGGTACCCCAAGGACCGGCCCAAGCAGCAGTCGAAGGACCTGCAGCGCATGAAGAAGCTGGGCAAGGCGACGGAGTACGAGCGCATCTACAAGGAGGAGCTCCTCAAGGCCAAGTGGCCCGAAACGCTCCTCCTGTGCGCCAAGGGGATCGACAGCCTGGCTGCCTGCCATGCCAAGGCTGACGAGATCCTCGGCACACTGCGCGACCGCCACGTGCAGTCATCCTTGGTCGACCTGGTGGAGGGGTGGCGGAAGGAGGGCGTGCAGGTGGAGAGACTGGTGGGGATGGTGAGCGACAAGATCATAAGCCTGCTGCAGGCCGCCACAGCCATCATCTACACCCACACCAGTGCGAGGGCCGACGAGAGGGGCGAGGAGGTGCGGGCACAGAGGGTCAGCCACCAGCTGCTGGGAGAGCTGCTGCGGGGGTGTGAGGCCGTGCCCTTTATCCTGCCCCCCTGACCAACCCCCCCTCGCCCCGCACTCTAAGAGCGCCGCACGCCCGTGCGAGGCGGAGACACACAGCCGCTTGCCCGCAAAGAAAGGTATGGGTAGACCTAAGGCTGCACACGATGTATGCAATTCAGCCAGACACGTACAGATTCGCATGTTTCTGTCATTCCGTGTGTGTGTCAGATTGCTGCCTACATTTTATATTCCGAGAGTCTCATATGCCCATCTCAACGTGCAGGTGGAGAGCGTGCAGGTGGAGACAGTGGTGAAGATGGTGAACGAGAGAAAGATCAGCCTGCTCGCGGCCGCCACAGCCACCATCTTCGTGCAAACCAGCGTCAGGCCGAAAGAGAGGGGTGAGGGAGGGCGGATGCCCTTGATCAGCGACCAGCTGGGGAGCTGCTGCGGGGGTGCGATGCCGTGCCCTTTATCCTGCCCCCCTGCCCAACCCCCCCTCGCCCGCACCCAGCAGTCGAGTCTGACGGGGATGGCCACACTCTCGTCATCGCCGCCGCCAACACAGCAGCAGCCATGCCGCAGCAAACAGACATCATCTCTGTGCAAGACGAGATAGGGGTCCCCGAGCAGCAGCCATCGGATGGTGAAGAGGGTGAGGACACTCCCAGGGTCAGCGGTGACGCGATGCCATGCTCGACGGGGTGGTATCTCTGAGTGCGTGCCTCTGTGTGTGTCAGATGGCTGCCTACATTTTGTATTCGGAAGCCTCTTTTGTTTGTCGCCACCATGTCCGCTCGTCTACTGCTGCCTGCATCTCATATGATTGACAGTAGCAGATCGGTCGACTGTTATGGGCTTTCTGCTTGTTTGCGATGACTTACGTTACGATCGAGTGCAGAGAACATATGGACGGACCATTGATTCCATCATTGACATTGATGCGCCTCATGGAGAAGCGCACGCAACCGTCGATTCACACATATACAACAAATACACCACGCCGTGTCTCTCACGCACACGCCACACACCGCACACCCTCGCTATCTTTTGACATCCTGCTGGTTCCCCTCCTCCCCGCCCCCCTCCCCTACCAGCGTATCGACCGGAGCCAACCTTGGCTTCCCCCTCCCCCCACCCTTGTCCCGCCTTGGCTTTGCCCCTTGGCTTTTGCTGCGCTCCAGATCGGCGTATGCCTCGTCAAGCAGCGAGTCGAGAGACCCACTTCTCAATTCGAAGAGGGGGGAGGGGGTTGGGGCCTTCTCGTAGTCATCGTGCCCATCTGGAGTGCTGTCAGGAGGGGGAGGGATGGCCGTCACGATGATGGACCGCTTCCCTGGGGCTAGGTCATCCACCCACACACGCACCTCCTGCACCACGGACAACACCCCCAGGCAGACAACTGGAGTGTGCACCGATGGTGTGCGTCTCTCCCTGTCTGCCGGTAGTCGACTTACCTGTCCCTCTTTGAAGTAATCGCGCACATTGGGGACGTACTCATTTGCGATCTTCCCAATCGGAAGAAGCCCAGCGCGGTCGGCGCCCGGCAGCTTCAAGATGGCATGCTTCGGGAAAATGCGGTCGACCATCGCGCCCTTGACCTCATCGCCCACCTTGTAGTCGATGCGGATCGGGGCCTGCCTCGCGCCGGCCCCCTTCTTTGTCTGCAGCTCGCTGAGGAGCTTCTGAATCTCTTCCTCGCTCCCCTGAGCTTGCTCGAGCAAGGCACCCGTCTCCTCACGAGCAGTGACGCGCAGCCGGCCATTTTCTTGCACTTCTTTCACCCACACAGTCAGGTTCTGCACACACACACACACACACACACGCATACACACACAGAGGTTGCAGATTGATGATGGCGGCATTCTGTGTGTCATGCCGATATCTAATACGTACGTTGCCGACGGGGTACACTGCCCCCAGGTTGGGAACGAAGCTGTCCCCCTCGGGCGTCTCGGACACATGCAGAAATCCCTCCCGGAACTCATTCAGCTTGACAATGACAAAGGCCGGGGCCACCTGGACCACCTGGGCGTTGTCGAATCGCGTGCCGAGGGGGATGGGCGTTTCATCGGTGATGCCCTTTATGTACTCGAGGACTTCCCGGCCCTTGCGGGGGTCCTCTGCGAGGATCTGCACCAGCCCGTCGTCGCTGACGGTGATCTTGACGCTGTAGTCTTCCTCCAGCTGACGCACACGCTCGCCACCCCTGCCGATGACGTCGCCCATCTGGGAAGGCTTGATCTGAATGACAGATGACACAGCAGACATGCAACCATGCAGCGACAGCATGTCCACGCTGTGTGTGGTGCACGCTACGGCACCTGGTGGGTGAAGATCTGAGGCGCCCATGGTGACAGTGATGTCCGTGGCTCGGCGATTGTCGCCGACATTTCGTTGAGGATGTGCATGCGGCCCTCCCTTGCCTGCGCGAGGGCCTCCTTGAGCACACTTCCGTCTATGCCCCCGATCTTGATGTCCATCTGGAGGGCCGTGATGCCCTGAACACACACGCATACACACACACACGCAGAGAGAGAGAGAGATGGCACCTCTATCGAACACACCCATTGTGACTGCATGCGTAGCATACCTCTGTAGTGCCGGCCACTTTGAAGTCCATGTCGCCCAGGGCGTCCTCAAAGCCCATAATGTCCGTCAGCACGGCGAACAGGGGGCCGTTGGGGTCCTTGATCAGACCCATGGCCACACCCGCCACAGGCTTCGATAAGGGCACTCCCGCATCCATCAGCGCCAGGCTAGACGCACAGACCGTCGCCATCGAGCTGACAGAGGGAAAGAGGCGAAAGACGGTTGGAGGGAGGGTCTGGCTGCGTGTGTGTGTGCGAATGGGTCTTGCCTGGATCCGTCGGATTCGGTGATCTCCGAGACGACTCGGACGGTGTAGGGGAAGGCAAATTCGGACGGCATGAGGGTTTGCAGGGCCCTGCGGGCCAGCCACCCATGGCCGATATCTCGCCGCTTTGGGCGACCCAGAAAACCTATCTCGTTGACCTGCAGACCGACACACGACATGCCGTGCACAACACATTAATGCCACATCGGCGTCATGCCGTTTCTGTGCCGATTCCTTCACCGACCGAGTAGGGAGGGAAGTTGTAGTGCAGGATGAAGGGGAGGCGGTCGGAGCGGACATCATCGATCTGCTTGGCGTCACGGTCGCCGCCCAATGTCACCGTCGACAGAGATTGTGTCCCGCCCCTGCACCCATACCACACAGGCACAATGAATGCCGGCAGTCTGTGTGCATTGCATCATTCCTCCCCTACGCACCTTGTGAAGAGCGCCGATCCGTGCACTCGTGGCAGGAGGCCGACGCTGCAGGCGATGGACCGCACTTCCTTCAGGCCGCGTCCATCCACACGCACGCCCTCGGACAGCACGCGCTGCCGCATCCTCTCCTTCACCCTGCTCTCCAGCATGCCCGTGACCACATGCATCATCTCGGGGTCGTCACAGGCAGCCCTCAGCTGCGCCTCGGCGTCCTTGGTCAGCTCGGCACGGCCCCCCTTGTCGCCCGTCCGCACAATCGCATCGGCCAGATGGTCTATCGTGGCATCCAGCCCCAACGGTAGACGGCGGGATTCCTGGTCGGGAGGAGGGGTCATCTGTGTGAATGCTGTGTTGCGGCCGGCTTTGTCGGCGAGTTGCTGAATGGCTTCGATTGCCCTCCTGGCCTGCTCATGGCCGTAGAGAATGCCGCCCAGAACCACCTGTGTGGCACGCACCCACAGCAGAGGAGGGCGGCTTGTGCACGGCCGAGGAGTCATGTCGTGTGCATGTCACCTCTTCGGTGAGCTCGTTGGCTTGTGCCTCCACCATCATGATGGCCTCAGAAGTGCCTGCAACTGTCAAGTCGAGACCCTGCACACGCATATGAAGGCAGCCGCACACACGTATGTATGCCTAATCGACACGACACACGATCTCTTCCCCCAGACAAGACACACTCACCGAGATGTCGTCTTCCGCAGCGGTCGGGTTGAGCACATACTCGCCATCGACGTAGCCCACACGAGCGGCGCCAAGAGGCCTCTGGAAGGGCACACCTGCGAGGGTGAGGGCTGCGGATGCGCCGAGCAGTGCCGGAATGGCCGGGTCGACGTTCTCATCGTAGCTGAGGAGGGTGGTGACGATCTGCACCTCGCGCTTGAACCACTTGGGGAAGAGGGGGCGTATCGGACTGCAGACAGGCAGGCAAAAGGCGGGTGAGATGGAGATTGGCAGGTCTGCTGACTGATCCTCTCTCGTTGGGTTACCGGTCAATGAGTCGTCCGATGAGTATCTCCGGGTCTTGTTGCGACATCTCCCGCTTTGTCCAGCCACCGGGGATGCGCCCAGCGCTGTACACCTTCTCCACATAATCCACCCTGGCATGGCAACATAGAAAGGGAGGACACTGACTGATTCAAACGATCTTCGCCTAGCTGTCCATCTCACCTAAGAGGGAAGAAGTCCTTGTCAGTGTCCCTCTCGCTCACAGTGACAGCCGACAGCACCACGCAGTCCCCCATCCGAACCATCACCGAGCCAGCAGCCTGACGTGCGACGTTGCCCGTCTCGAGAATGACGTCATAGTCGCCATACTTCTCGATCGTCTGTCGGTGCACTGTCTGAGCCGCCGAGGGAAGAACCTCCCAGTAGCTCTCGCCAGGCTCGGAATGAGGCACGGAGAAGGGCAGATCTGACAGACAGCGATACACAAAGGCCGAGAGAGGGAGAAGAGGTTTAGGGAGGGTCCAGGACGGTGTGCGTCACATCATGCAGTCAGCATCGCCAGACATGTGATCTCCCCCGTTGGCTCTGCCCCACGTCTGACACCTCCCCCACTATCGACTCATACGCGAGGGGGCAACACGGTGGGACACTCACATGCGCACACCCATACACAAACATATGATGTATGCTCACCGCTCTCTGTTGTGGCGTCATCGTGCGACTGCACACTCTCAGGGCTCACGTCCGTCGACACGCTGAATGGAGCTGACCGAAGACGACTCGTCAATGGCTGCTGTAACCTCTGAAGGCCTTCACTGACAAGAGGATGGGCAAAACCTGCGGGCATGGAGAGAAAAAGCACGCACGCATTCAATCGTCCTTTGCATCTCTCTCCCTACCTGCTGCATCGCCAGAGCCACGCCGCAACGCAGAGGCAAGATCCACAAGCGCGCCGAGAGCACAGACAAAGTGGACGAGTCTCCAGCTGCTGCTTCCCATCGGCTTCATTGTGCAGACAGCGGGACAGCCTCAGATCTTCACCAGCGACGACAAACAATGGACTTCACCGATTCATTCATCAGATTCTTGGCTTCTGAGGGAGATCTCCATGAATCAGTGGCTGATCATAGCAGAAAGAGGCTCCTCAAGCAAGCCAACCATCAGGACGTCCAAACCGCAATTCTCAGGATCGGCGAAACCCTAAACCCTCAAACCCTAAAAGACAGCGTCGTGTCAAGCTCGCATCAAAGGCGAAGGAACAGGACAACAGCCACAGTATCTGATTACATAGCGTCAAGATGTCCGCCGTGTCCGGTTGGTTGGCTGTGTTGTCTGTGTCGACGGTTGTTCTCTTCGCCCTCAACTTGGCCTTCAATAACGATGGCTCCAGATCAGCCATCCTGGGAGAGGACGTTCAACCAGTGGGAGAGGTGAGGCAAATATCACCTCTCCCACGCCTCTCGTGACTTTGCCTGTGTGCCTTTCTTTCTTCGACTGCAGGTATCTGACGAGTTCGACTCGACCATCACGCCCAGGGGTATCGCCTTCGCCATCTGGGGGTTGATCTATTTCTGGAATGCCGTCCTTATGGTGTTCGCGCTGTATGACGCCTTCGCGCCACTGTTTCGCGGCTTCCGGAGGGGTCGCGTCACAAGTGACTACCACGCAGAGGAGGAGGCAGCCAGCGGACTCGACAAGCACCTTCTCACTCCACTCTTCGTAAGGGAATGCCTGACACACAGAGCTATGTGATGGCTAACGCCTCTTCTGTGTGTGTGTGTGTGTGTGTCTTTGTGTCGTGTGTTTCAGTACCTGTCGTACAGCCTGACGTGTGTGTCGAGTGCCGTGTGGATCTACGTGTGGACCAACGAGAAGCTGGGCCTCTCAGTTCTCTTCCTCCTCCTCATGAACGTGGGTCTCTGGGGCGCCATCGCCGCCGTCTTCTCGCACTACCGCTCCCTCACCGGCGGCAGGAAGGAGGGGTTCACCAAATTCCAGCGCAACTTCTCCAGGTACGGCTGCTTCTCTACACACACAGTGGCCCCTGACGCTCATGTGAATGTGTGTCTATTGTGTGTAGATTCGACTTCTTCGGATTCCACGCATTTGTTGTCAACGGTCTCTTCATCTACGCGACGTGGGTGGCGGTCGCCCTGCTGCTGAACCTGACGACATGGGTGGCATTCGACCTCAAGACCCTCTCCGCCGAGCGCATGGCCACCGTGTCGCTCGTCATCCTGATCTGCGAGGTGGCCCTGTGGTTCACGGCGCAGAACACCTTCCTGGAGCGGTATACCCGATACCTTGTGATCGACTACCTAGTGCTGTTCTGGGCGGTGGGCTGGTCACTCGACAAGAACTACAAGGCCGGAGCGACCAACACCATCGTCACCATCGCCCTGCTGGCGCTCATCGGGCTGTGCTTCGTCGTCCGCATCTGCCTCCTCATCGGGCGGGCCATCCACAGGCGGGCGGAGAGTACCAGGACACAGGAGAGGGAGGAGCCGGCCAAGGCGACTGCTACGGGCGGGTCGGCGTGTGTGGTGTAGCTGGCCGGCAAGACAGACAGACAGAGGGAGAGAAACCGGTCATACAGATCGGAGTGCGTCATCGTACTGTATTTTTGTGGTGGATGACTGGATGGATGGAGGGTTGCACTAGGCTGTGGTCCCACTAACGCTTCTTGCAGGGGGGGAGGGAGGGTGAGGGGAGGTGGTTTATGGGACTCTCTCTCGTGGGTGCCTGTGTGTCTTGCTATGGGGCCCTTATTTGTTGTATAGGCGGTGGATAAGTCCATTGGCACACTGTACACACACACAGACTAACCATGTAGGTTTTTTCTTTTGTCAAGGACTGTGGGTGCGGGCGTGGATGTGTACTTCTCTTGGATCCTTTTGTTTTTCGAGCTGCGTGTGTGTGACATTTATTTGGGTGAGTGGTGACCATTACATGTGCTTTGCTGAAGGCTCCGCCACAGTTCGGGATGGCGACGAAGTGCAGGGTTTGCGAAACCCTGCAACCCACGCGCGAGTTCGGATCGCGGCGGTCCCCCCCTTTGCCGTGGTTTCTGGCGTTTGTAGGCGTCGTGCAGCCTGTTGCGGCCGGGCCGCTGCTGTAAGACCATCGAAAGTCCTGAGCGGCCGCTTCCGGCGCTCGAATCGCTGGGTGCCCAGCCCATAACACCGCGATGAAGACCTTGATAGAGACTCCCAGCCACGTGGCCGTGTTGGACTTGCAGACGGAGAAGTATGGCAAACTCTGGCACGGAGAAAGGATGGCCACGGTATCGGAGGACGGCGACAGTGTAAGCGGCACCACTGGGCATCGCACACGAGCAGAGGGGCGCGGTCAGAGGGGCGGAGGAGGCCCTCGTGTTGCTGCCGCAGAGGGGCACAGGATGGCATGTTTTGTTTGTTTTTTGTGTTGTGTTTGTCCGTGTGTGTCGTGTCGTTGGTCAGATGATGATGCTGGATGAGTCGAGGAGGAGGATAACGGTAGTTGACCTCAAGAGCAAGGGCAAGACGCCTCCCAAAGAGATACAAGGTCCGCTCAAAATCAAAGGCAGGCGGGGGAATGCAATGCACGGCACTCATTGCACGGCACTCGGGCGCCTCGTGTGTGCTGTGTGTTGCTGCGTGTGTACTGTGTGCCTCAGTATCGCTGCAGTCAGAGGTCGACCAAGTGTGCCTCTCGGCGGGGGGCAAACACCTGGTCACTCACACACACAAAGGGAAGAACGAATGGGGCACTGTGGTCAACTGCCTGTGTGTGTGTGTGTGTGCCTGTGTGCAGATAACTCTCGAGAGGAACGCGCCCGCAGTCAACGTGTGGAGGGCGAGCGACGGAACGTGGGTCAGTCACCAAATGCACACAACCAACCAGGGCGCAGAAGACGTGTTGTGGTTGTGCTGTTGTGTTGTGTTGTGTATGGTGTTGTCATGTCAGGAGCGGGAGTTTGCGGTCAGCGGCGTGTGGCCGACAGTCCAATTCACAGGGGGGGATGAGTATGCATTCGCAAAGGTACCCACCCACCTAGCTGCCTACCTACCTTGCACCCACCCACTGTGTCGCTCGTAAGACGATTTGTGGACCGTGTGTTTGTGCGTCCGTCATGTGCATGGCATGGCATGCAGGATGCCTATTTGGAGGGTCTGGATGTGTTTGTTGGCTCCACGTTGGCGGGCAGCACGTCACCCACCGCACACATAAAGGTGGAGGAGCAGCCAGTGCTCGCCTTCAAACCTTCCCCACAGGTACACTTGCCGCTATCCACAACCCACACATCCATGTCTGTCATCGTTGTGTGTGTGTGTGTGTGTGTGTGTGTAGGGTGCGGCGTTGGTGGCTGTGGCGTTTTGTTGTGAGGAGGACGACACGTCCGCCTATATCACCATATACGACCTGCTCAAGAAATCCGCCAAGGGCAGGAAAGCCAACGCCGTGGTGAGCCCAACTGACAGCTTAACCGCATCCATCCATCGTGTCGTTGTGGGCTCTGTGCCTCCATCCATCCATCCATCCATCAGGAGCCGCACCCGCTGCCGGGCAAGGCCGAGCTGCACTCTGGTTCTGCAGATGGGCGGTTCGAAATGAGGTGAGAGAGGGAGGAAGGGAAAGGACAACATGCAGGAGGGTGTGCATTGCCATCGATGTGCGCAATGCATTGCACTGCAGGTGGAACCCCTCAGCTTCAGGGCTGATTGTAAGCTGACCTGTCAGCGAAGAGGGAGAGTGCCGGGCACTGTGTATGTGCAGGTTGCGGAGTTTGATGGCGCTAAGCCGCATTTGGCGCGATACGTGTCGATCATACAAGTACTGAGGGGAGGCACACTTAACTACCAGAGAGCAGAGGGGCATTGTTCATCTGTTGTATCTGTCGTCAGCTGCCGGACACGAGTGACGGGGACGAGCTGACGATGAGGACCCTGGAGCCCGTTGAAGTCGGCATCACCACACAAGGTACCCCACCCACCTACACCTCATCAACACACACACACAGAGCAGCGTCGATGTGCAGTGCATGGTGTGTCAGGTCGGTGCATGGCGACGGCGTGGCAGTGGAGCGGCACTACTGAGAGGTTCGCGATCAACTTCGTGCAGCAGGACCAAACCAACAGGGTACACCAACCACAGACACGGCGATGACAGACGCACCCCACCCATTGCCTCTCTCGTCTGTGCCATTGATATTGATCAGGTAGACGTGTTTGACATGGAGGGCAACAGCAAGCACCAGCTCAAGCTCGGAAAGTACACACACACACAGAGACACAGACACGCACACCAGCCAGACAAACACACGGCACAGCACGGCATCTCACGTGTGTCGTGTGTGTCAGGTTGCCTGAGACGCGCAAGTTGAAGGTGAGGATAGACAAGCTGCAGTTCGACCCCACCGGCAGGTACCTGGCCATCGCTGGCATACAAACCGCCAACAACTCGGGTGAGTCGGTGCGCCAGCAGGCGAAGAATGCCCTCCACACACGAATACGCCTGTGTGTGTGTGTCTTCGATCCATCTGTGTATCAGGTTTCGCCGCGGTGTGGGACGTGTCGACCAAGGCGTTGGGTCCGGCCGAAGTGGTCTTCAGGCTCATTGCACAAGACGCTACCGTAGGGACATGGGCCGTCACACTCTGAGACGCCGCCCATCTCCACGTTTGTGTGTCGTCAGATTCCGCCGACGGACGTGCTGCAGTGGGTGTCGCTGTCAGGGTCCCGGTACCTCATGACCGGTACGCACGTGGCAACACCAAAGCACCACCACAACCACCAACACACACACACAGCCCGCTCTCTGCCTCCTTCCCTTCTCTGCAGGCCAGACGCTGCCCAGCACCGAGACGTCGATCCACCTGTGGAACCCCATGACGGCCAGCAACACGCCGTTCAAGTCCATCCACTTCGACACGACCCACACACACGGCAACGGCTGTGTGGAAGGCCAGGTGGTGGATGGCAATGGCAATGGTGGTGTGAGTGTGAGGTCGGACGCCTTGGTGTCGGTGCAGCTGATGCCCCACTGCTCGCATCAGATCGGGGGAGGGGGGAGGAAGGACTCGAGCGGCAGCGGCACCTCACCCGTCATGGCGGCGGACACTAGCCCATCCAGCAATAGCAAGAAGGTGAGAAAAGGAAGTGAGCGACCAAAGGGTGGGGCAGAGGAGGAACCACACAAAGGGAATGTGCGTGTGTGGGTGGATGTGTGTCAGGGCAATGGTAAGGGCAGGTCAGGTTCTCACGGCAAACACGGACTGCTGGCGAACGGCGCGCTGAGCAAGAAGGACAGGGAGACCAGCAATGCAAGCACCAACGACGACTCACCGTGTGGCGGACAGGTACGTATCACCCCCTCAACCACACACCACTACTCTGCATCTCACGTGTGTCATGCATTGCATTGCACACCATGCGATTGTCACCAGGTCGACGGCCGTGGACCGCACCGGCACAACTCGACGTCTAGCGGCAACCTGAGCATGATAGAGAGGAGCGACTCGTCCAGCACTTCCACTTCAGTCACCGCACTCTCGCCCTCGCACTCTGCCATCGCCGTGGACGGACAGGTATGCCCCCTCCCCCAAGAAAACACACACGCACAACATAAATGGAGGGGTGCCTATGTTGTGGGGTACCTGGATGTGTGTGTGTGTGGCGCAGTTCACGCCCGAGGGCCGGCCGCCGAGGCTAAGGGACGCGCTGGAGATGCCCTGCAATGGCGGCAACGGCAACGGCAAGGACACCTAAGAGGAGAGAGAGGGATTGACGCCCACCCACCCATCCAGGAGAGATAGAGGGATTGCCACATTTTCTCACACACTCATTTCATTGACTTGGTCGAAGTGCACTCCACGCCACGTTTTGGTTTGCTCACGCGCACTCGCACATCACATGACATGAGATGCATTGGTATGGCATGGCATGGCATGGCATGCTCTGGTCTGGCTGGCTGGCTGGCTGGCTGGCCGGTTTCTCCTCTCTGCCTCATTCACTTATCCATCCCTCTCTCTCTCGTCGTCCGTGCATCCTCTCAATTTTCCCCCTGCCTGGTCAATCGAACGGACAGACGGACGAACGCCATACTCGCATGCCCCACACATGACACCACATCCGACCACACCGTGCCGTGCACGCCGCGGCTGGATGGATGGATCAAGAGGGACATCTGTCTGTCGCTGTGTGCGTGGTGGCGGGGCGTGGGGTGGGGTGGGTGAGTGTGCGGCCTTGTTTGTCTGCCTGCGAGTGTCGCCGTATATACAATTGAGGTGTCTGTGTGTCGGGGTGTGTGTGTGTGTGTGTCTGTCGTGCGTTGTTTGGTGTGGTTGGCTGGATGGTCCATCCACTGGTCTTGCTGTAGAATAGCACACTCACGCCCCCTCCCTCCTGGTCCCTTTTCCTGCCTGCTTTTCCGTCGGTCACACAAAAGGCACGCAGAGCACGCCCACACCGACATGGCAACACAGAGAGAGATTTTCACCCCACCCCACCCTCCCCCTGCCCCCTGTAGCGTATCGTAATCGTATGCAACGTCTCGTGTGTATGTATGCATGTACGTCGATCCATCCATCCATTCTGCCTTTTTGCCAAGCGTCACGTCACGCCACACCCACCCATCGATCCACAGAGTGGTTGTCCATCTATCCATCCATTCATCCATCCATCCATCCGTATGTGTACAGGTGTCGTGTTGGCGGCAGAGGGAGGGAGACAGGGAGGGAGAGAGAGGGAGGGAGGGGTTCGGGCGGAGTGTGGTGTGGGTGTGTGGGTGAGAGGTGATTTTTCCGTCACTGCTGGGCTGAAGGAGGGCCCCCAGACGGAAGCAGGGAGGGAGAGAGGGAGGGAGAGAGAGAGAGGGATTGACACGGCACACACATGCATATCTGCATGGATTGGTGTCGGTCGGTTGTCGGTCTCATCTGTGTGCATGTGTGTGTGTGTGTATGTATGTGACGTGTGTGGTGGGTGTCATGTCAAGGTAGGTACGGTGGCTGGCTCACTCCCCAACTACCTACCGGCGATTTTGCTGCTTGCGCTGCAGAGGGACGCGTGTGGGTGATTGTTTTTTCAACCACACACATGCGTGTATGTATGTGTCTGTGACCCAGACAGACAGACGAGTATTGTGCTCACCCCCCCTAACATGCCTACAGGTAAGGCACGGTGTGTGGACGTTGATGGCGTGTGCAGGCCTTTTTTCAGACACTCTCCCTCTCTCTGTTGATGACACGAATGGCTGCTGATGGTACACATGCGTCCCTGCATGATGTGTTAGACGGGTTTTTTCGCCGACTGCCCGCACCCCATTTTCTCGGTCTGGCCCCTTCGCTTCGGTTCGTTCCCCCCATTGATTGACTGATTGCTCGTTTTCACTCACTGCGATGTATTCTAGGCAGGCGGCAAGGTAACTCACTCTCACGCACTCACTGTCTGGACGGTTGCGCGGGCGGGCATCCTTTGTTTGTTGTCGTGTTGTTGCTGTGATGTGATGTGCTCTGATGTGTATCATACCGCTTGGCTGGACGGCTGCGTGGCGGGGCAGGAAAGGGGCAGGGGAGAGACCCGCCGCCCAACCACCGATCGATCGATCGACCGACCGACCCACATTTTTGCGTTGCTGCGCCGCCGTCATTATGTCGGGCTGGGTTCAGGGGTATGACGTGGCGTGGCATGGCATGGTGGGGGGCGTAAGGAGGCTCGATTCTCGTCTGTATGTTTGTTCGTCAACAACACACACCAGCCTGGAGCGATTTATCGGTTGTTTGTACGTGTCTGTGAGGTGTGATCTCCCTCTCCCTCTCTCTGTGTGTGTCGCCGTGTGATCGAACATTATTCGGTCAATTGAATGTCATCATCTACGTACGCGTGTTTGTTTGTGTGTGGGTGCGGGTGTGTGGGTGCGGAAGGGGTGCGTTCGTCTCGTCTGTGTGGGTTTACTGTGTGCATGTCTGTGTGTTCGAGGACAGCAGGGGTTTGTGGGTGACCGACCGTTCACGCCGTCTATATCGTCACATACACACGGTTTTTTGGTAATTTGTCGTAGCTACCTGCCCTGCCCACGCAGCGCAGAAATCGCCCAAACTACTCAGATCGAACTTGGCTACACGGACACTACACTAGACACCAGGCACCAAATGCGCGATGGTGACCTGGCGCTCCAAGAACAGCATTGCTGCACGCGGACACGACGGACAACACAGACACACAGACACACATACGCGCAGCACAAAATGGCACCACCAAAACCACCACCACCACCACCTCCAGTAGTACAGGCGCCACACACACAGGATTCATGCAATGTCGACATCCGCCCCGGCGTCCCCCGCACCCACAATATCCCCCCCACCCACAGCGTCTCCCCCAGTGTCCCACTCCTCAATCCCCCCACCCTCCCCCATGTCCATGTCCTGGTTGTCGTTGGCATTAGCCTCACCCTGCCCCGCCCCACGCCCCGCCGTCTTCTTCTTGTCGGCCTTGCGCACCAGGGGCTCCGAGAAGTTGAGAAGCGAGGGCATGCAGAAAAGGAGGAAGTCCAGGAGGGCCGTGTACTTGGAGGTGATCAGGATGACGGCGATCAGGGAGGCGCGCAGCATCGGGGCCGTGAACAGTCTGACAGGAGAGAGAGAGAGGGAGAGAGACATGCTTGTGTGTGTGTGTGTCTGTCTGTCTGTCTGTCTGGGGTTGTGTGTGGTGAATGGCCCACCCACCGATGTGCGGTCGCCATGGCTACGGCAGACGTGAACTTCTGGATGATGAAGGACGGGTACTTCTGCAAGGCAAGTGGATGAAAGAGAGACAAGGATGGACATTGTAAGACTGTGTGGCAGCCCCTGACTCACCAGTATGATAGCCGTGATGAAGAAGACGCACCACGCGTTCAGCAGCACCATGAACACCCACGCCGTGATCTCACGCGCCTTCCAATAACCCAACTGCACCAAACAAACACACAAACACCCCGACGGCGCCCCAGCGGATTGCCAACACACCACACTCTCTTGGTGAGTAAGTGAGTGACGTACGATGAACTGTTTCTCCTCCCGCGTCTTGACCTCCTCGTGCACCTTCTTGCCGAACAGCGATCGGATGATCAGCGGCACCGGCAAGGCCAGCACCAGCGCCCACAGAGAGGCAAACAGCACGTCCCAGTTGGGCTGATACAGCTTTGGCGGCGGACGACACACCGACGCTGCACGCATGGCATGCAGAAGGACGGTGATCATGTGTGTAAGGGGTTTTCAGAAGGGGCGGAGGTGTGTGTGTGTGTGTGAGTGTGTGTGCGTACGTCTGAACTCTTCTGGTACGAGGCATTCGGCGTTGAAGAACATGGCTGACCACATGGTGGCCGTCACGAGGGCGGACGCGAAGATGCCCCACCGCTGACAACGGGACATGACGGGGTTGTAGGGGAACAGTTTCGGTACTGCAGGCCAGCCATGCACACACAGAGAGGAGAGAGACTGCTGAGGGGCATGTCTCCGCCAGTCTGTGTGGTCATTTGCTTACGGGGGTGTTCTCTCTTGGAGACGACGCCCACGATTTTGGGCGCCCCCCACGTGTGGTACTGCAGACGCTTCGCTACCATCTCAGTCTGACACACACGGACAGAGAGACACATGGCTGTGACGTGCCCACTTGTGCCTTCCCGTCCACTCCACACGCACTGTTTCCTCGTCATTTTTGTCGATGAAGTATTCCAGTCTCTCCCTGCTGTCGGGGTCGAAGTCGTCTTCCTCGTCCACTTCATGCTCCCTCTCGTCGTCGAGTGCGCTCTCGATGTTGTGCACGATCTCCATGACCATCCCCCGCTCATTCACCACAAATCCCTCCCTCCTCTCAGCCTTCGCCGACCTCACGCCAGCCGCAGCAGACACAGACGCAGCCGAAGTCGGCTGCTGCTGCTGCTGCTGGCCTTTGTTCTGTTGGGTGTCCATGCTGTTCTTGACGTCGACCTTATTGGGTTTGTTCCCCCTCAGAAGGCCCCCCAGCATGTTGTTGAGGTTGGCGAGGTCGAGTAGCCATGGGAAGGTGGGCTGCTGCTGGGGGGTCTCGTTCTGCGGCTGGTTGACCTTGACGGTGTATGGCTGGGGGGACCTGTTGGGCGGCTGCAGTGAGTGGAAGGCCGTCGTCATGGCAGAGGGGTCGTGCGTGCGCTTGCTCCGCCCGCCGCGACGGTGAGGACGGGATGACTGGCGAGAGGCGGCTCTGATTGGTACAGAATGGAATTGTGCCACCACATCGACAGGGCTGCTGGTGTTGTGTCTCACCGTGATGGTTCGGTGCTGCCAAAGATGCTCTCCATGGCCTTGGTTTGGGTGTCGGTCAGCTGTGACATTCGCGTGGCCGCCGTGTCGCTGCCATACCTTCTGCTCCGTGCCGAAGGCTTCATCTCAGCACCGGACACACCCAAGTAAGCACCTGCACGCACAACACGACCTCCACCCAGACCAGCTAGCTGATCAGACGCCGTGTTATGCGATTTGCTGACTGACCTTGGGAGTTCCTCATTCTGCCTCTGGAAGGAGCGGAGGGGCTTCTGTAGTGTGTCGTGGAGTCCTGGGACTGTCGGTGCGTGTCTCTGGTCGACCGCCGTCTGTGGCCGGCGAGCAGAGAGGAGGTCTCTGAGTCGTCATCGGAAATGACGTCGATCAGGTCGATGAGGTTGTCGAGGTGCCGGTGGAAGAGATGGCACGTCACGGGGTCAGAAAAGTGAAGCTGACCGGACAGACGGACACTGTGTATTATGCGTGTTGGGGCATTCACACGGCACGGAGGTGACTGACTGACCGACCTTGAGGGAAGATCCCCTGGAGAGAACGACTTCCAGGCAGCTGCCGGCCCTCTCGGTGCCCTCACCCCCAAGGTCGTCGGCCCCCCTCCCACCCCCTTTCTTGGGAAACACATCGTCCACACCCACAGGGGACCCCACATTCTCCTCTATGTCACTGACCAGGAAACCGTACACATCTGGGAAAGGCCCCAGGCTCAGGTTCTCCTGGCTCTTGCCCATTTTCTGCAGCCACCGCCAGAAGGACCCTCGCCGCTCGCCGTAGTAGATGGCCGCATTCTCCTGAGATGAGGACGTCTTGCGGCCGTCGGGATCACGATCGTCGTCAGCACCATCGCCGTCGTTGTCTCTCTGCAGGGCAACGGCTTTCCTGTCTGTCTTCATCAGCAAACCGGTCATCAGTGTGCCCCTCTTCTCCTCTGCGATATATCGGTTGGACGGATCGACCTCATCCAGGCGGTCTCGCGAACCGTCGATGTCTCCTCTTCGCGTGCCGCCCGGAACAGAGAGCTGCTGGGAGGAGGCCATCGGTCGGCGTGTGGACTTTGTCCGTGCTCTCAGGGAAGAGTCTTGCAGGGATTCGTCATCATCTTCGTCGCTAATTGGGGGCGGCTGGTCGGACTCCAGGAAGAGATTGTCCTTGGGAAGGAGATTGAGCAGAGCACCTGTGTGATGTGATGCGATGAGCAGGGAGGGGTGGAGAGTGAGCGCTCGTCGTGCAGAGCAGAGGAGTGTTGGGACTGTGGGTTACCGTAGTGTGTGACCCAGACGCTGGCGAGTCCGACCCCCTCGATGACGGCGTCGACTGCCGACGAGGGAGCCGACATGCCCGTGGCGTTGCTGTACACCCGAATGGCCCCTGCACCACACACACACACATGTCCTCACCTCTTGACTTGACAAGTGGATATCCACTCAGACCTGACAATGCTGTGTTGATCTGCTTCTCGGCCCGTCTCATTGATCTGTTCCCGAAGTCCTTGCCGCAGTTGGACAAGGCGCGGTTCATCCGGTTTTTCCTCATGTATCTCACGTACAGCCCCAGCTGCTCGGCCGTCATCTCCCTCTGCGCCGACGCGAGAGACATGAGCTTCTTCTTGACCCTCTCCTCTGTCACCATGCCCTTGGCGTCGATCACGCGGACGCTCTGAGACAGCACCACCACGCGACGATACCGCCTCCGGGGTTTCAACGCCTCGTCCAAGGCGATGGTGTCCTTGCCCCTGTAGAAAGGCCTCTCCCTCGCTGTCGAAATCGATGACCCCGATCCAGATGTGAGGCTGTCGGAGCTGCTGACGAACGTTTCATGAATGCGTAGCCGTGGCTGGGTGCGCTTGGTGGCGGTAACCTCGATGCGCTGCTGATCGCCGGTCTTGCGGAAGAACCGCGGTTGCAGGAGGGTGAGGGCGGGTGGCTCGGGTGCGTCTCCTTCGATAATGAGGTAGTCGTCAGGGTGGCCGACGGGGCTGAGGGGGATGGCCTCGTCGGCGGGGATCTTCTGGTACACCACCTCGATGAAGTGGATCTTGCTCATGTCAATCTGGCACCAAACACAGACACAGACACTCTTGCAGTCCGGTCTGCCTGCCTGCAGTGAGCGCTCGCTGACCAGGAATCGGGGTCCCATCCAGTCGACCAATCGCCGCATGGCGAAGTTGTGAAACACCTCTTTTGGATGAGCGCATAGGATCGACCCCGCCCGGCAGAACCACATGAGGTGCACCTCATCCGAAGGCTTGAGCAGCGTGTCTGTGTCCATGTCGATCTCATACTTAGGCCGCAGACAGGTGTCCTCAGACCTGTGCCGGATGGTCACCTCGCACGCCGTCAGTGGCGGGACGAAGGCGTCCTGGAGGATGGGCAGCAGATTGGACAGCTCTGGATGGTCCTTTCGGAGACGACCCTCCTGCTCCCTGCAAATTCAACAAATGCAGTCGGTGGCCTGTTCATCGACCCATGCAGCTGTCTGACCTCGCGAGCCTGAAATGGGCGTCCAGGAAGTCGCCACCAGCGTTGACGACGGCCGTGCGCAGCTGTGCTGTGGCTGTGGTCTGCTCCTGAGTCGCGGCCTCCAACTTCTCACGCGCACGACGGGCCAACCAATCTGATGAAGAACAAATGTGAGCAGGTTCTCACCGTTTCGCGTCTCTGCGCATGCACCACCCACCTTGTCTCTCCCTGAGTTTCTCCAGCTGCTGTTTGGCCTTGAACTCAACGCTCTCCTGCAGTGCATGGACCACCCTTAGCGCCTCAGCCTTGACGTCCTCCTGCGCCTTCCGTGACACCCCCAGCAGAGCCAGAAAGGCCCTCGACGTGGCCGGCATCTTCAAGAGTTTCGCTATGTCCATGACGCCCTCGGCAAGGGACCGCTCGGCCTCGCTGCGCCGCTCCCTCTCCTGTCTCTCCAAACGCAGGAGTGCTTCGGGGCTCCGCGCGCCCCTCTTCCTGGCGTTTGCGGATCGCACGGATCTGACTGCGATGAGCGATGCGGCGAGGTAGAGCTGCTGTGTCCTGTAGTGGACTTGTTGGATGCGGAAGAACGGGATAGAGGAGGTCGACTTGGTCATGCGCTTGGTACGGTTTGGGTCGTCAGACTCGTCCGCATCATCATCCTGACGACAGAACGAGGAAGGATTGACGTTTCGCATGTCATTGTCTGCTTCACCCATCCATCGCTGACCTCATCGCCTGAGCTCCTTCGCCCTTCCCTGCGGGCGACCCATCGCCTGACCGACTCGCCCAAAGCCCCGCCCCATGTCACCTCCCTGCCCCTCGGTCGACAGCTCTCAAAGCACCGACAGCAGCCCCGACGCACCGACGCCATCCGCCGCCTCCAGGCAGACACGTTGATAATCAGGGGGTCGAACATGAACAGCCCGCCGAAGATGCGAAAGGGCGGCAGCAGCATCAAGGTGAAGTCGGTGGACTCGCGGGGCAATCGGTCGAGGAAGAAGGTGCCGAGACGGTTCTTGGGATCGACCCAGTCGCGGCTGTCCCGCCACCAAAAGAAGAGAAATGGGCTGTAGATGGCGAGCAGGATGCCGGCCAGGAAGAGCAGCGACCGCCACTGTCTGCGGATGTTGTCCCAGCTGTAGAGGTACTCTGCGGCGCTGACGAGCCCAATATTGGTACGCTCAAACTTGCGCGAAGACGCCTCGTATGACGCCACAAACGCCGAGAGGTGGTTGCACGCACACTTGACGTGCGTGGCGTTGCTGTCCTGCCACACATTCTCACACCCGTCGCTCTTCCAATCGAGCTCGCCGCGATAGAGACACAGCCGTTCGGTGCAGTTCATCCAGTGCTCCTCGGTCCCCGTCACCCAGCACAGCTTCCGCGTGTCGTTGGGGCAGGGGAAGGAGTCTTCAGGGATCGCCTCTGGCTGCACGGGGCCCTCTGGCAGCTTGTCAGGTATGCGCAGCGTCGGGGCGCCTGGCAGGTCGATCTCCACCGATAGTCGACGGACGGGAGCACGGTTTTCAGCAGTGAACAAGGACAAAGCACGGAGGGTCCACTGCAGAAGAGGCTCGAGAGTGGGATGGGGGGCTTCTGAGTCAGGAAATGCCGTGAGTTGCCGCCTGGTGGGTGAGGAGACATTACCCACAGGGAGAGGCATGTTGCTGAACGGCCAGGTGCCGTTCCAGGTTTCGTTTTTGAGAAGTAGTGCGCACGAGTCGACGGAGGGTGCCTTGAGGTAGAAGGTGATGTTGACGGGCGTGTCTTTTACCACCATTTTCTCCCGCTTCTGGCCGTCGTAAACGTCGATCTGCCGGATGAAGGGCGCCAGGGCTCGGGAGGTGTTGGTGTGGGGGTATGGGCTGACGGGCCAGTCGATGGCCGTGAGGATGAGGGCTGACCCACTCGACGGGGGAGCCGCCGTGTTGGTCAGCGCGCCACCCGGCACTGTCACGTCGTCCTAACGATCCCAACACACAAAACGTGACAGACCGGACGTGCTCTAAGTGTTGGTGCCTACAAGTGCCAAGGGTTGTGTCGATGCAAGGAGGGCGTTCATCTTGGTCAGCGCCAGCCTCAGCTCCTCCTTCTCGAATACGCGTTCAGCCTGGTCGGCGGTGTCGCTCGCGGCCGTCAGCACAAGCCGATCCATCGCCAGACGGCTCTCAAATGACACGCTCCGCGACACGTTGGCTGCATACACAATAGACAAGCATACAGACGACAGATGCACGTGTGTCCCCCCTCCCCCATACCGAACTCAACGCTGTTTGCCCTGTCCATGACCCTCTGCACGGCCCCCACCACCTCGACCCCCGACGCGTAGCTCAGCTCGTACCGCTCCTGCAGCTTCGTCTTGGTCAAAGTGTCGTTCATCAGGTCACCCAGGATGACCGACGACTCGTTCAGGTGGAACGAGTTCACCCCCTCGAAGCCCAGGAAGTTGGACAGAGATGACGCCACGCGGCCGACAGATGGGTCGTCCGGTGCGCTGGCGATTACAATGTCAGTGGCAGCCTTGATAGCGTCGAGGTATCTGTCGAGTGAGGTCATGTTGAGGGTGTCGATGGCGTTGAGAATGTCGTCGACGTCCCCAGAGTTCTCCACCTCGTCCAGCAGCTCATCCACCTGCTGATCGCTCAGCTGCGCTTCCTCAACACTCAGCCCGCCAGACAGAGAACAATGCGGGCAGACCTCATGGCCGCCCACACTCGCCGTGCCCAGCACACAGTGAGAGCCGGCGGGCAGGAGGGTCTCATATGCAGGGAGCGACCAGCCAGTCTTGATGGGGATTGAAGGGGACGCAGATGCAGAGGGCGCGGAGCAGTCTGAGGCGTTGGTCCGGGCGAAGGAGAAGTCGACGTCGTTGTAAGGGTCGCCAGGGTCATACCCGTACACCGATTGCTGGATCAGCACCTTCTCGGCTGAAGACGTGTTGGTCGTCGACAGCATCAGGTTGCCCCCCCTCTTGCTGTCCGCTGCCCGGAAGGGCTCCGACACCGCCACCACAGTCTGCCCATCCACCACCTCCAGCACATAGCTCTCACCCCCCGTCAGCACCGCGGGGTCCACGCTCACAGCCAACACCTCGATCATGTCGCCGGCAAAAGGCCTCTCAGTGACCAGGTACTGCGTCAGGAAGTCGCTCCCGACTGTGGCAGCTGTGGCTGTGTTGGTTGGGATGGGTGTGAGTGCCGCAGCGGACACGTTTGCAGGGAGGGGCTTTTCCTGCTGGGAGAGGGCGAGGCGGAAGGCGAGGAACGACGTCGACAGGGGGGTGGGTGCGAAGTGGTAAGCAAGGGCTGTGAACGCCTCCTTGACAGTACTGCAGGCAAAGGCAGCACGCATCTCGTTCGGTCAGGTTATCTGACACACATTACATGCACCTGACTCACCTCTCAGGAAGGGCAACGAAGAGCGGCAGCACGGGTGTGTCCGCCGACACCACCTCGATCGCCACCTCGCCTGTCATTGTGATGCCTGCTGCCTCCACCATCAGCCCCACATCACACTTGCCAACCCGCAACGCCCGCAACTCGATCCTCCCGATGCTGTTGGGCCCTCCAGTGTCATAGCGAAGTGGGACGCCATCTTGCGTCAGCGCCCAGCAGTCGCTTGCATAACTCCATGACTTTCTGGCAGACGTGAAGTCGAGCGGGAGGAGAGAAGTGTCCGTGATGATGGCGCCGACCATGGTGATCAGGCCGACGTTGATCTGCCTGGGGCCGACCAATCGCAGAGGATACTTCTCTTGCAGCACTCCGGTGACAGTGAACGTGATGAACGAGGGGATGGGCGGCACCGCGTCAACGTAGTACGCTTCCATTTGGTACTGTTCCGTCTCAGAGGGAGCCACGTCGCTCTCGTTGAGCATGAGCGTGGTCACCTGTGTGAAGTTCATCTCCAGCCCCTCGATGCTGCCCGACAGCCCCTCCCAGCTGCCGTTGCCGCTGTTCCACCTCAGCCACCGCACCAAAGCCACCCTCGTTTGGCCCTCCGATGCCGCACACGTCGCGTCACTTTCGTCGCCATCCCAGCGGCTGATGTACACCCTCAGTCGCAGCTGGCTGCCGACTTTCTTGTACTGCTGCAAAGAAGAGCCAGCAGTGATGTGCAGAGGGGGCACAGGGACGTGGTTGTCCGTCAGCAGGGTGAGGGAGAAGGTCCTGTTGACGGGCATGCTCATAAAGGTCTTGGCCGTGACGAGTAGGTCGAATGAAGTGGCCGTGGGCACTATGGATTGTGCTGCAGCGAGGAGGGGTGCCGAGGGGAGGTTGATTCGGATGAGGGAGAGGGTGGTGCCTTGGCCGGAGGACGCGTTAAAGGCAGCCAGTTGGTCGCAGACGACAGATGGTGTGCTGCTGCTGCATGCCCAGGTGTAGTTGACGAGATGGCCGAATCCCTTGCCCACTTGCACCTCCACAGTGTTGTTCAGGCAGGCATGGACCGTCACTGAAGACACCATCTGAGCCACAGACAACTTAACAATCAAGATTCGCATTGAGCTATGCGTCCTGCCTCACCTCAATGGTTGGCTGGACGAGGGCGGGTCTCGTGCCAGGCAGCTGCAGGTACACCGACTGCCCAGCGGCGTACCACGACGCCGGCCAGGCGCCCCCATAGGCAGCGGCGGCCTCTTCCCCAGCAGGCGTGGCACTCATCAGCCGTCCTCCCTCTATCCTCACCTCCATCCCCACACCCACATTCGCCGAAGACCCCTGCCGCACCCGCAGGGTCAGCGGCGTCGACCACTCACATGTGGGGTCGTTGCCGAAGAGAGACAGGGGCCCTGGTGAGTTGAATACGTCGCATGGCGAGGTGAAGACTGCTGGATTGGGAGGTGTGTCGAAGACGATGTCTATGGCGTCGTAGTTGTGTGTAAGGGTTGCTGAGACGAGGCGGGGCGGCTGAATGATGTAGCATATGGCCGAGGGAGAGGGGGCAGTAGTGGGGTCAACTGAGCATACGTGACCCTTCCCTTGACTGACACACGCTGTTCTGTTTCTGTCGGTACCAGGGCAGCCAATGGTCTTGCTCAGGTCAGGCGCACAAGGGTCGCCGATCGTCGCACACTCAATGATCTGTGTCGACAGGTCGAATGACGTCCCCGGGTTGCAAAACGAGAAACCAGCAGGGGGCGTCACCGGAACACTCTGACAGAGGGATGCAGTGATGTTGGTGACCACGCTGCTGCACACCGATGGCCCCTGTTGGTATCTTGGTGTCACGGGGGAGCCGTCAGCTGCCACGGGGATAAGTGGGGCGGTGCACGTGAAGCTTGGCTCGACCTCACGGCAGTCGTTGGGGCAGCCGTCGTCGGCAACCAAGTTGCCTGCATGCGCAGACGGAAGGAGAGACTGGGGCGTGAGGCTAGAGACACCGTCGTGTGTCGATACCGTCATCACAGGCTTCAGCAGGTGAGATGTTGCCGTCACCACATTGAGGCACCTGGCAAGCAAACATATCCACCAGGACACTAGCTAGGCAAGGGGGGAGAGCCAGTGTATGTGTGGAATGAGATTGGCTCACACATTCGGCGACGATGCCAGTGGTGTCCATCCGCACACGACATGTCTCTTCAATCAGACAACTTCCGCCACAATTGTCTACCGCTGATAGATCGACAACACATACGTGGAGAGTACAGCACATATTATGTGTCCACAAGTCGCCCTTCCACTTACCAGGAACGACCCGCACAGACCGCTCCGACGGGTCTGCAGCCTGCTGCAGAGCTATCCCCCTGATCGCATCCCGCCCATTTGCCTCTATCTCGGCCGCCAGCGAGTCGCACTCACCCGTCTCCCTCTTCGCCGCAAAGCAGTGCCACATCTCCACCACAAATGCATCTTCCTCACCAGGCGGGATGGGGAGAGTAAAGGACTGGCCGACCTGCACCAGGGCAAAACCTGGAGCGGACTGCGAAGTGTTTGGTGTGGGGTAGAGGTCGCTGTCGCCCGGCGGCGGGGGGATGGTGTTTGAGACGGAATTGATCTTGTCCCAGATGAGTAGGATGCGATCGTTGAGGGGGTCGACGTCGGGGCCGGTGGCACTGGGCGTAATGGTGGTGTTTGGGCCGCTGGTGACAGTCACTGGCGTTTGGGATACTGACCTGCCAAGGTCTGCAGCCCAAACAGATCAACACAGAGAGAGAATGCCACCATTTCTCATATATCGGATCGTGTGTCTGTCTTGCTTACTCACAGTGGTAGAAGTAGAAGGGCTCCACTGTGGCGTTGTTGGCATTGCCGTACTGATCAGCTCCCAGACTGCCGTTCACGCTCACCTCCACCCGCCCCAGCACTGTCGCCTCCACCTCAAAACACGACTCAGATATGCTGCTGGACAATGAAGGTATCGGCTGCTGGGTCATGTTGCCGCAGAAGGCAAGATCAGAGCTGACGAGGGTACCATTGGAGACAGAAACGACCGAGGACAGTGTGTGAGGGGTGAGGATAACAGGATGGGTGAAAGTCGCCCTGATGGTGAGACGTGGGCTGGTAGAAAGCTCTCGAATCGCAATGTAAGCCTCAGACTCGATCCCATTAAGAGAGATGGTCGGGCAGATTGTATCTGACGGAAACAGAGGAAAGTCAGGATTGCTGCCATTCAGCAGCCAACCTTCGGCTCACTGATGACAAACTGGTGAGTTGACGCTTCATTGGGAGACATAGTATCCTTGGCGGCAACAATGCCCACCGGCACATTCACATCAACCAGCTGGTCGACCCCCGCCGCAGGATAAAGCGTCAGCGTGTACATGGCTGGGGGATTGGGCGGGTCGGGCGGATCCAGCAGTGAAAAGCGAAGCTCAGCGGGCTGGGCCTCGGGGAAGGGCGACACGGTTATGTTCGCCAAAGTGAGAGTGGGGTAGGTGTCGAGTGGGATGGTGAAGTTGAGGCGGAGGACAGTGCCGTTGGCGGGGCACTGCGACGGCGCGTCGTAAGATATGAAGCGATCTGCACGGAAGAGCAACAGATGCATATATGGACGGCCATGGGACATTTGAAATTCTTGCTGCCTCACGTACCAAAGACAGCTCGTGGCGTTTGCGCTGCGTGACAAAGAGGACAAACAAACTCATTGCACCTGTGTCTGTGTCTGTGTCTCTCCACCTATTTTTCTTACCCCAGAACCACTGCAGCTGCACCCCCGTCAGCCCCGGCCCGACCCAGTTGCCATTCCCATCCGCATCAGCAGCTATCGTCCCCACTACAGTCAGCGTAATCATCCCATACGCCAAACTCAGCTCAGTCTGATTCACCACAATACAGTAAGTCGACTGCCAAGGGACGGCGGCCCCTCCACTGCAGCTGACGAGGCTGTAGTTGGCTGCTGGCAGGTGTCTGGTCGCACCCGTGCGGTCCGTCAGATTAACTCGGGGCACTGGGTGGGTTATCTGCTCTACTGATGGGTCGACGGGCTCGGTGAAGGTGACGCGGATAGTGACTGTGTGGGCTGTGGTGGTCTCTGTTGATGGATTCCACTCGGCATGCGGATCCACGGCCAAAGTCAGATTCGGACACTTCGCATCTGAACCGCCAAAGGGCACACACGCGATGATAATGCAGATACCCAACAGGAATAGGAAATATCAAGCTTACTGAAGGGAAAGGGGCCCCAAGACCTCGCAGGCATCGGCGCCGTCGTGGCAGCACTCGCCGCATTGCCCGCCGCCACATTCACAGTCAGAGTGTCCACCACCCCATCAGAAGGCCGATACAGCAGCGTATAGTTTGCAAAAGCGAAGAATCTCGCGTGGAAGTCCCCCGTCCCCCCGAACACCAGCACATCCCCGCTGGCTCGCCCCGATGAGAACTGCAGGTCGAGGTCGGCGATGGTGAAGTCAGTCACAAACTCGGGCCAATCGAGTAAAATCGACAGTGGCCCGGGGCAGGTGCTCCACAGCCACGGATTTGCACCATGAGAGCCAGCTGCAGCAGCACAGAGAGGACCACAGACAGGTCACAAATGAGGACAATGCATCCTTGACTGCCTTGCGTACTCGGGCCCGAGAAAAGGGTGACGAAAAGGAAAGCATTCACTACGGCTGCAGCTCACACAGCAAACGAGGGTGCCTTGCATGGTCCTCTGGTGCGCAGTGCACTGCGGCGAAGTCCCGCGCTTTACCTTTCGTTCTGCTCATGCATGCCATCTCTACTTCTCGACTCCAGTCGCCTCAAACTCGGTTGCTACAGTGCAAAGGTGCAGGCTACATGCTCCCCGTAATGTGCAAGCACGAATTGGCTACGGTCACGGGCTGGGGGAAGACTGGGGGGTGCATGCGCACCCAGTTTGGCGAGCTCAGATCTCCGGCACCACTCCGCCTCATCGGGGAACGATGGCGTTGGAAGGAGCTGTCAAGCTGGAGGCTGGACTTGATATCGTCAAAGATCGGATCAGAGGGGCGCCCATTGGTAGGCTCATGCCTCAGGCAACTCAAACATCCAAGCATGAGATCATCCGTTCTTGTCTGTGAGAGTGATGCAGGCATGTTTATTGCGGATGCGCTGGCGATGCCGGCACACTGGTACTACGAAAGACCCAATATCTTCAAGCGCTTCGGTCCTGACGGCGTGACTGCGTATCTGCCGGCTGAGAGCCCGCACTGGGAATCCATGGTCGATGGCATGACTTACAGGGGTGCGTGAGGTGCCCCACGCTATCGCCAGGACAGAACAAGAAGGCCACACATTCCATCAATAGACCTTCCTTGCATGTGTTGTGGTTTGTAGGCTCGATTGACATTCTGCATGACAAGCGTCGGTTCTACAACCGAGAGGGAGAGGTGTCTGGCGCCGACAGCCACGGCAACCGGCTCATCGACCCGCCTGACAAGCGCACCCACTATCATGACGGCCTGCAGGCGGGACAGAACACACACACCATGGCCTCCGTTAAGGTGCTGCTGGACAGCATCACAGAGAGGGGCGGATATGATGCTGAGGGATTCATCGACCGGTGGATAGACTTCCATACGACACCAGGCCGCAACACGTGAGTATTCTGCACGGCCTGCACACACCAACACACCGATGGCTGACTCATCCCTACTATCTGGGCGTGGTGTGCAGTGACACGTATCTCGAGATTTATGTGCGCCGGTTTTTCGAGAACCTGAGTGAGGGACGGCCCAAGATGCAATGCGCCGAGGACCAGAAGAATCGCTGGTCGATCGGCAGCCATACTGGTGTCGTCTTCTGCGTCATTCCTTTCCTCTTCACTCTCATGCAGGTCAGGTGTGTTGGGCGGGAGGGAGGGAGGCCAATAAGCACATACAGCAGACAGCGCATTTATACAGCAGACAGCACATTGCACACGCTTCCGTTGATCAGGGTCTGGAGAGGACGGCAGACGGGCGCCTGCAGCTACCGCCCGCTGCCCTCTCTCGCGCATTGGAAGTGGCCCTCAGCCATCAGCGACTGACGCATGTGTCGGTCAACGTCACTAGCGCCTTCACGGCCCTTGCGCCGCTTCTCGTCGACCTGCTCTCTGCACCAGACGGCCTCGGGCCTGATGAATATCGGAAGATGTTGCAGAAGAACGCCAAGGCATTCCACCTGCCCAGAATCACTGGTACGCAGCTGAGTGTGTAGTGCAGCTTCAGGGACAACCGTGTGTGTGTGTGTGTGTGTGTGGAGGTGCTGAGTTGATGGACCGATACAGAGAGGCCAATGGGCCGTTCAACATCCCCACAGACGAGATGTGGAAACTCCACACAGGTGGGTAACAAACAGGCACCGCACCGCCACACTCCCTCCCTCCATCTCTCCCTCCCTCCATCCCCTTCCGCTTCACTGTCTCTCCATCGCTGCAGACCTCAAGGACGAGCCGTTTGATCTGTCCGACACTCTCCTGGCCTCACATTCGCCCGAGTCCTTCATCGGCGACATCGTAACGTCGGCATGCTACACGGAGCACGGCCTCCCAGCCGTGCTCTTCATGGCCGCCAAGAACGCAGGTGACGGTCACTTTGCGGACGCGGTGCTGTGCAACGTCAATGTGGGAGGCGACAGCACGGGCCGAGGGGCCATCCTTGGCGCAGTCATGGGCGCCATGGTGAGGAAAGAACAGCTAGCTGTGTATGAGTGTGGTGGTCGGGCGTGTGCATGTGTGTTGTTTGGTGTAGGTTGGCTTTGAGAGAATTCCTGGGTGGCTGAAGGATGGTCTGGATGACGGCAAGGGGCTGATCGAGTGCATTGCCGACGTTGTAGAAATTGCGGCCAAAGGGCTGGCTTGACCTAGTTCGGCTTTGGACGGTGTCTTCGTCGCCTCGCTGTGTACGTCTTTATGCGTGCAGACTCTCTGCATTTGGATGTGTATGTCATTCGGGTAATCAACAAGTCAAGCATCTTCATTCGTTAATCGAGTTGGTCTTGACTCTCAAGAAGGTCACTCTGTACTGTACGCCACCTATACACACGACCACCCAACCAAGACAGCCACACGGGTCCTTTCCTGCTTGTGGTGCGCGTGCATGGCATCGATTCACTCGACAGGCGGTGATCCGTCGCATGAATGGATGACATCATCGCAACGTAAACAGGAGAGGACACACATGCACTGCACGCTGCAGCGAGAGGCAATGGCAATATAGACAGACAGAGGCAATCCCAGCGATCTCTCCCTTTGCTCTCTTGGCCCATCTGGTGGCGGGACCAACGTGGATGCGATGCCACCCGCCCACCCGACGACACTCACGCAAACCGGACACGTCCGGCCGGCCAGGCAGGAACCAGCATGTATCTGTCTGTACAGGAGATACTCAAGAAGTGAGGCCATGCATCAACACCTCCGTGAGTGTTTTGCTCCTCTTTGCTTTGTCTGTCTCTGGTGTGTCCGGTGTGCCCGCCAAGGTGGTGATGGCATAGACTCCGTCACGCGCGCGTGTGCAACAGAGTCGACCCGCCCACCACAGCCACGGCCACACCATCCATTCACACAGACGCCGCACGAACACAGAAGAAGGTCGAAAATAGGTGGAAAAAAGGCGGAGGCATGGTATGGTATAGGTGTGTGTGTAGGTAGGGTATGTCGGTGTCTGTCTGTCCATCTGCACTGCATGGTCGTCAACTCAACGCCGGCATGCGGGGACCTGTACACACAGAGGCGAGGAGGGAGGGATGCGATGCGGTAGAGCCCTTCCCTTCCTCTCTCTGTGTGTGTCAATCGATGCATGTGATGTAGGTGTGTACCCTACCTGGTTGTCGGCATCCCCCTGCTGGTTGTTGTCCACCTCATCCTCGATGTACTCGGTGGTATCTGTGTCCCTCCCCAAGTACACCTCTCGGCCACCACCACGACCACTATCCACACCAGCACCAGCAGCAGCACCCACACCCCCGGCCCCCTCCTCCCGCTCCCGCATCATCTGCCAGCGCGCCATGATGAAGTCCTCACGACTGTACCGCCGCTCACGCACACGATCGTCTTCCACCTCATCCGAGGGTCTGACGCCGTCCTGGCGATGGTGGTGTTGCGTGTGGCTGTCGGTCGACCTGTGGCGGCTGCGTGTGTCGGTGTCGATTTGGTCGTTGGTGTGGGTGTGGTGCTGGGGCTCGGGGTGTGGGTACGGGTGAGATGAGGGGCGGGGGAGGCCGTCGGTCTCGTCACGGGCACCTGAGAGAGAAGGCGCAACATGGACGCAATGGAGGCCCTCTTTGTACGTTGTGTGCTGTCTGTGCTGTTCCGCTCCACACACCGGCTGTGTCGTGGTGGTAGTGCTGGCCTGACGGCTCCTGCAGGTCGCTCAACAAATCATCTGCACACAAACCGACACATGCCCCACAACACAGCACAGCAGGCACAGAAGAGGCCATGATTCGATGCAAACAGACAGCCCCGCCATCTCAGCTCTGGTGTCGCTCACCGAAGTAGTCCTTCCATTCCCCCAGACACCAGATCTGCCGTGGCGTGACGCTGGATGCCGGGTTGTCCTTCTCGCGCATCATCTCGGGCACGATGCTTCCTTCCATCAGCGCCGCCACCATCTCCAGCATCTTCCGATAGTATGGCATGTGGACCACCTCCTCTAGCGGCCGCTCCTCCACCCTCTCCGCCACCCAACTCATGAGCTCGATGCACCGCTTGACATCACGGCGTGTGTGGTGGCGGTCGCGGCGTCCATCCATCTCGGTAACAGGCTGTGAGTGCCAAAAATGCCGGAATACGCGGAAATGTAATGTAAATTGAGACTGCCGAAGTCCATGCACTCTTGGAGGAGGCCACTGTGGGCCAACGCAGCATGTGTCTATATACACACCACCCTTCCAGATGGAGAAAAAAAGAAGACGCCAGACAAATCAGACGCCGCACTCACTCCTCCACCGTCTGACGGTCGCTGCCTCAACGACCACTCTCAAGAAAGGAGAAACCGCCAACCAGCAGCGCAACAGACCCCTCACAGCCTCCAAGACACGGAAAAAGAAAAACGCCCCAGCAATCAATCAACCAATCCTCACTCACTCCATTGCCGCCCACATCATCGCCGACCCCACGTCAGTGTATGACAGCATGTCATAACCAGACACGCGAGACCATCTCCTGCTCGCTGTCTCGACAGCACACCACCCCTCCAGCTCCGCCAGCCGCCTCACCGCAGCAGCACGCACACCTCGCGGCTCCACGGCGAAGAGCACCTCGTTGGGCGCCGTGTGGCTGACCCACTGCCGTGCTCGTGACAGGATGCCGCTGCTGCCTTTGCTGGTGTGGCGGTTGCGTGGTCGCGATGGGGATGGAGGAGGGGAGGGAGGGGGTGAGGAGGCGGCAGACGGGGAAGGGGTGTCGTGAGCGGTCGACGCTGAGGCTGCTGGCTCGGGAGGCGCCTCGTTGATCTCGGTGCCGAACAGCGACGTCAGATGCTGCCATGCCAGAGGGCAAGAAAGTGGACGAGTGTGGGTGGGTCTGTGGGAGTCGGCATGTCGTACCTCGTCGACTTTCTTATAGGCCGCGCTGTACAGGAGCTTCTCAAAGAGACGCAACTCGGTCCGGTCGCCCCTGCAACACACAGCATTGCGCAGGCCCCACCATTCATCACCATGCCAACACACATCACTCATGGTGCTGATCCATTCTCACCTCAATCGCTTCATGACCCTCCTCTTCGTCAGCTCCGCAGGCTCGTCAGTCTCCTCATACGCCGACAGGTCGTCACTCGTGTCGGCCAGCGACCTCCCCGCGCCCTCCCTGACCTTCTGCCAGTCCATTGCCGCTCTCGTTCTCTGCCAGCTGAAGGGGTAGCTCAGGGCATCCGTGCCGTGCTGGACGACAGACGCGATGTCGGTCTGCATGAGGGTGAGGAGGTCCACTCTTGGGCTGTGTGGGTCTGAGCTGTGCGTGTCGCTGTACGCCTTCCAGTGGATCCACTTGCAGAGCATTGACTCCAGCTGCCCTCGAGTCAGCGCCCACACATACATACTCAGTCCGCCGCCGAGGTCAATCCACGTGTGCCGGTACAGGTGCTCCAGCTTCCGTTTGCGCTTCTCGTACATGTCCCGCAGCTCAGCGGGCGTGACGTCCTCCAGCTGAGTCGGTATCTCCCAGCTCTGCTGCATGACCAAGTCCGGTTCTTGTTGTCGCGGCTGAGTCTCGTCGGGCAGCCACTCCATGCCCTCTGCCAGCTCCCAGGGCTTGTTGTCGCTGAGAATCTCGAGCAGATGGGCTCGATTGTGCCGTCTTGCACGCCGCACCCACGACAGGGAGGGCGGAGCCTCGATGAGAGATTCCGTTGCAGAGCGACGACGCATGTTGACCAAACGCGGCTCTGCCAGCAGGTTGTTGACGTGAGGGAAAGGCGTCACCGCCGCGTCCCATTTGCGAGCTTAGACAGCGCGAGCTGAAGGAGAAGAGAATCGTTGTTGACGCAGCTACCCATTTCCCCTGTCGGCTGATTGCCAAGCAGTTGCATTCGAGCACCTCATCGTACCACTTCAAGTGAGCGAGCATGCCTAACCCGAACAAGGACAAGGATGCCCGCCTGGAGCGCCATAGTGCCGGTGGACCCAGCACCCACGCATACGGGGCGGGCGAGAAGAAGGGAGGGGGAGGAAAAGCCAACTGGGGTAAGTGAGCAATCTCATCTCACACACAGGGAGAGGGAGAAGCCGAGATGGGTGGTTGCGGGTGGGGTGGTCAGCCAGAGGGAACAGAGAGCTTAGAGAGCTGCTGCGAGGGCCTCGCATTCCTGTCGATGCAGCTCCTCACATATCGCTTGTTTTGTCCCTGCCTGCGGCTGCTCTGTGTGTGATGGTATGGTCTGGTGTTGCCAGGCAAGGAGGAGGAGGCTGAGCGCGACCCAGCTCCCCCGGCCATCGACCCCAAGGACCCTAACTACGACTCGGGATCAGAAGAGAACAAGGAAACCGCCAACAAGGTGGGTGACGCACTGACTAATGAATGCACCACAGAGCACACCACGCACGCCACACAATGGTGGCCTGTCGTGTTTGTTGTGTGCAGTAACCATTGTCGATACGGTTCGTCGCCATGGAGTGACGGTGCTGCTGAGTGTGTGTGTGGACGGCGGACGCGATCGCATGTGCGGGGTAGGAGGCGGCGCGGTCGTGGGACGGAGCCCGTGAGGTGATGTCTGACGACACACCCGAGTTGTCTGTCTGTACCTCTGCGCCTGCCTTCCTGCCTCCGCTGCCTGTGGCTCTTGTCTGCACGTCTGTCTGTGTGTGTGTCGATGGCTGAGTGGATGGCTGGGTGGCTGCCGATCGTGCGTGTGTATTCTTTTTCCTTCCATGAGCTGCTCATACCTACCACACGCACGGATCGTGACGGTTGTGTGATCGGCTGAGTGTGGCTTGGTGTATGCCTTGCTTGATCTGCGTCTGAGTGTTGATGGCATGCTTCGGCACGTATGCGTACCTATCACATCACCATGAGTGTGGAGGAGTTGTGTGGCTGTTGTGGTGTAGCTAAGCGAATGTGGTCATGTGTGTCTGTGGTGGTGTGGTTCCGTTGCGTCCCGAACCCTCGCGGGAACTGCATGCAAGATGGTGACAGCCCTCTTGCTGTGCAATCTCTCGTGGGTCGTTTACGTCACGAAACCACACCGTCACGCACGCGGAGGAAAGCCCCGAGGTCATCACCTGTCTGTCTGTCGTGTCTGTCTGTCTCTCTGTCGGTCTGGATACCTCTCTGGTCGCCTGGATGCCCTTACGTAATGGCTGACATGACATGCACTCTGGGCACGACACACACACGGCTCCCTCATTTTTGGAGTCACTTACTCCCACGCCACACGGGGGCCGCTATGTGATATCGGTTTCAACGAATGACGATTATTTCCTGCCTGCCTGCGTGCCCTCTCCCTCCCTCTCTGCCTTTTCCCTGCCTGCCTGCCTGCCCTCCTGCGTGCCTGCAGTCCGTGCGCAGTGTAACATGGCCTGCATGAGGTCGTTTTTCTCCTTTGTATCCGCATACGGTGCGTGAGATGGGGAGGATGGGGAGGATTGTGTTGTGTTAGCCACGCAAGAAGGGATGCCAGGCAGAGTAAGTCGCCTACCAGATCTGATGGGCGCATCTGGGCGGGCGGGGCCCTCTCTCGTGTGTGGGTGAACGTGCGTGCGTATGAGTGGATGTCTGCATACGTGCCTGGTGGCATGCCTAGTACTGGGACGAATGAAATGAATGCGGTGGTGAATGGACTCTACGTGAGCTCAAGGCTGCTGCGTACGATACGCTGTAATGCGGTTCTCAACGATTCACAGCCCTCTCGTCTTTGGGACCGCGAAACGGCTCTTCTTATGCGTTTACATTTGGCGAGGGGGATGGATGCTTTTGAGCTTGAAGACGACTGTGAGGGTGATTTCCTGGGCATTGGGAGCTTCGACGATATCGTTCTGCAGGAACAGCAATCCTCAGGGGCAGATCATCAGCCTCTGACAGAGGTGAGGACAGGCCTGCGAAGACACAGCCACACCTTCCTGCTGCTGCAGCCTGAGAGCCATAGAGATGCTAAGAACTGCGCAGAGGACCTCTTGGAACGGTTCAAAGTATGCTCGTGCCCGTGGGGGGGCTCTTTATCTGTTTCTCCTTTGTGTTTTTGCAGGTAGATCATTCGGTGGATGGCGGGGTGCTTCTGCAGGCCGATGGCGTCACACTGGCCGTCCAAGAGGTACATAAAGCAGAGAGAAGCCAATGCCAACCCATTCCTTCTCCGTCTGTGCAGGTCACCGTTGGTGCTGGTCGTCTGGATGTTATCGCAGCAGCTGCACCGGCCAACTTGAACGAGCCTTCATCTGCTGCCGCGTGCGCGGCCAATGGAGGGCCGTCGGCGGAGCGCGTTGCATGTCTGCGATGGGAGGGGCGATTGGGCGATGGGTGCGAGAGGCGGGATGTGCATAGGCTGGGGTTCGCGATGGAGGATGTAGACGACTGCCATCTGAAGGTGGGGAACAACACACATCACCGTGCACAGAGTGACAGAGAGAGAGAGATGCATCGCTTTTGACCCGCAGGCGGTGCCAGGCGAGAGGCCCACGCTGAGCATCGAGGTGTCGGGCAAGGACGGCCATCCGATGTTCGTTAGCCTCGTGTTTGGCGGTGAGCCGACTTGTGAGGCCGGCCGACAGGAAAAGGACCCATCGCAGACCCCGTCCAAAGTCTACCGCATGTAGGCCGTCCATCCAGCTGTCTATAAACCACGCATTTTTTTCACATCATTGCAGGATCTCGCAGGCGGACGGACCGAAGAACGACGACCACTCATCGAACAGCACAGGCAACAGACACTCCCCTGACCCGTTTCATGCACTCTCGCCTTTATATCTCTCCACAGCGCTCCCCAGCAGTGCCACATCCAGCTCACAGCCGCATCCGCATCAGAATTCTTCCCCGTCCCCTCCTCCCGGCCCCCCCTCACCCAAACCGTCAAGGATGCGCCTTCACAAGAGGGCCGAGGGTGCGAGCGACGAGTGGTGCGACGCCACACGGGAGAAGCTGTGTGGGGCCCTGCTGGAAGGGCTGCCTGAGGGGCGATTCCACCAAAGCGGCAAGGAGTGGTAAGGGCGGATAGAAAAGAATGCATTGGGTTGTGTTGAATACGCCGATCTTCTCTGTGTGCGTGTCTTGTGTCTGTCTATGCAGCCATTCATTAGAGGCTGTGTTGCGTCGGAGCCAGCTGCTGCAGAAGCTCGCCCGTGAGAGCATCGAGAAAGGTGCGTGCGCACAGCGAAAGAGAGAGAAGAGACTCACACACATACACCCGTTGCGTCTCTCAGTTCTGAAGACTGTGGGGGGCATCTGTGAGATCTGCTGCGACCGACCCGTCAACACTCGTGAGTGAGGACGGACACACTTGACGGCTGCAAATGGCTCGTGCATGTCTGCGTGTGCGTTGCATGACCAGGTCTCGGGTGCGAGTGTGGGCATTACATCTGCTCGGCGTGCAACAAAAAGCTGGAGGGTCAGCAAGAAAGAGACACGATGCCTTGCCGTCCCCGGGGTGCTGCATGTGTGTCTCTATGCAGAGCGCGTGTGCCCATGGTGCCGGCAGCAGTGTAGGCAGAGCTTTGTGCTCTCATCGTAGCTGCCTCAGTTGCGTATGCGGATACACACACGTGCGTCGGCCGTCCGTGTTTGCTGACGCATGTTGGACTGAGATCAATACATTGGATGGCTGGAACACAGAGGAAAGCTCGTGTGTCGATATCACGTCATGGTCCATCCATCCATCCATCCATCCATCCATCCAGGGACGGATGTGAGCTGCCTTGGGCAGTGCAACCCCCTACACATCAACGCACACTCACATACATACACATACACACATACATGCAGTCTCATGCGCTGAGTCCATGCAGACGTGACATTTCGGTCGACGGCGCGGCAAAACTGTGCGATTGTGGGAGGGGGGTCGTTATGGGTACTGAAGTCCGTCTGTCTGTCTGTCTGTCTGTCTGAAGGGACGAACGGGTCCGTAGTGTGTGTATGCGGCGATGGATGTGTGTACGATCTGCCGGCCGGCAAAGTGGGGTGGGCCGGCAAAGTGGGGTGGGGTGATTCTGCCGCACAGAGACCTCATTTACTCGTAAGCCAAACTGACAACATGACACGCACGACAACGAGTGTGGCCCGCGTCGTGCGCTTGCATGTTGCTGAGCGCACCGCATTCGTTTGGGAATGAACAGCATTGGGTGCTTGGGCGCCGGCGAGACGTCGAAGCGGGCCGTCGTGCACACCCGGGGGGGCGGTGTGGGGCACCTCTTGCGCTTGTTGTCGTATCGGCTCTTGCGGCCGTCATCCCACAGCTGCATGACATCATCCCCCTGGCCCGACAACTCACCCGAACGCTCACCAGCACATACACCTAGACAGACGCACACAAAAGTGGTCGGAGCGGTGGTGTCTCTTTCTGTCTTCCCCTTGTGCTGTGTGTACCTGCACCGCTTTTATTGTTGTTGTCACTGTGATGTCCCCCGTCCAGCCGCCCCGATGTGCCCTCCTTATGGCTGTCGTGTTTGTTGGCGCTGCCTGCCGGTGTGCTGCTTTCGCGCTTGACACGGCGGGCAGGGGAAGCGGCCTTGGGCTGGGGCGTGCGGGGGGCTTCATCAGACACATCCACAGCCATACCGGTAGCTGCCGGACAGAGGGGGAGAGACACATAGGCATGGCGGCATAGGGAAAGCCTTTGTTGGTGTGCGAGTGTTGGGTTGAGTTCCTCACCATGTTTGTCATGGTGGTGTGTGTGTGTGGCCGTCGAGGGGTCGGCCATCGTGTGTATCGCCATTGAGTCGGACGAGTACTGCTGCCCAATACCTGCACACACAGACACAGATTGGCTCGCGAACGTCACACCCTTCATCAATTCAGTCGTGTCTCATGACCTTCCACGATTTTTGCGATTTCGAGCAGACTCTTGACATCCTCACTCACACGGGGGGGCGGCTGCTGCCCCCCGCCATCACGGTACACGTCATACGCTGACACAAACCACCGACCAAACCAACCAAAAGATACATATGACCCCCGCTGCCCCCCCACCCCCCCACGCACCTTTGTTCGTCCTCCACGGCGGCAGCGGGACCGATGTGGTCTTGCCGCGACGACGCCTTACGGGCTTGCCACCGTCACCCACACTCCCCTCACCCCCACCGCCCCCAGCGCCATCCCCACCACTCAGCACGGCAGACGATGCGTGTGTGTCCTTAGCCACCGGCAGCGGCACCATGTCACACACGGGCTCTGTGGGCGGCCGGATGATCTCGGGACACCCATGGTCAACACCAGACAATGACTTCCTGCATATATAGATGGATGGATGGAGACATAAGTGAAGAAGGGTAACTTGTGTTTGGTGTGTTGGGGTTGCCTGTGTGGGTCCTTGAGTAGTAGCATGTCGTGTGTGGCGTCGTATGGGCTCAGCACGATGGCCATCTGGTGGGGCGATGGCAACACGTCAGTGGCGGTGGGGGTGGGCGGGGCCGGCAACTCCTACAGATGACAAAACAGACCTGTAGCTTAGTACTATTGGGTGCAGTTCGTCTCCCTCTCTCTCTCTAGGGTTGCCTTTATGTTGATGATATCGATGGCCGACATCTCATCGTGACAACTGAAGGCACAGCAGATACAGACACGAGAACGCATCCATGTGTGTGTATCGTCCCGCCCCCCCCCCCCCACACAGAGAGATCATTACCGAATGACAGCGAAGTCATTGCCTTCAACACAATACGACAAACCTGTATACCACACATCACGCACACGGTGGTGTGAGGCCATCTCTGTCCGTGTGTGGTGTGTATGGTGTTGTTACTGCGTGAGAATCGTGGTATGATGCGTTTGGAGTAGGCCGCCCGCTCGACGCTGTCCGTCAGGCTCTGCAGATCCCAACACACCGGCTTGTTCACCACCACCACAAACAACTGAACACACAGACAAACGCCATGACGCATCCACACACCTCACGCCCCTCTCCCCCTCCCCCACTTGGCCTGCTTACCGTGCGTCTGTCAGCGAACATGACATTGCTGTCGGGCCAGAAGTGCGCCTTGAAGAACGGATGGTCATGCTGGTGCTGGTGGTGCTGGGGCTGGTGGTCTGTGGGCGGGGTGTGTGTGGGCGGGGTGTGTGTGGCACTGGCAGAGGTGCCCGGTGCGTCGGGTGAGGAGCTCTCGTGTGAGGCGTCCATGGTGTCGAGGTGCAGCAGGGCGGGGAAGGCCTTGCCATCGCGCCGCTTGTGGCTCAGCTTCTCCCACCACTGGCTGGGGTACTCACTCGCCAACTCGGACCTGGTTAATCAGAACACCGTCATGGCGAGTGTGTTGGTGTGCGTGTGTGTGGACGTACTTGTGCGGGCGGAGCTCACATTCTGAGTGTGCATGTCTGCATTTGTCCCCCTTGCTGCACACACCGCTCCACTCGTAGAATGGGCAGAGGACCTCCTTGTAGCCAGGACCCGAACGCAACTCCTGCACACAACAGATGCACACACATGGGGAGAAAACGGGTCGCCGTCATGCGTGTGGTATATTAAGTACCTCTTGGCCGTGGGCGAATGAGCAGATGGCGCCCCGCGGGCAGTGACCGTTCGTCATCACCCAATCGCGGCAGATGGACGTCTTGTACACTGCACACAGGTGCACAGCACACACACACACGGTTTTCTGTTCAGCCATCCATCCATCCATTCATTCCGTCCGTCCGTCCGATCGTCAATGGCCCATGTGCATACGCCGGTGGCTGGGCGACAGTGTGGAGCCTCGGGGGAAGGCCGGCAGCGGCGGGCCTTGCAGAGCCATCGGCAGACCAATGGAATGGACGACGGCCGGGCCTTCGGAGCCGCTCGCAGATCTCACACGAACGGAAGAGCGGACCAAGAGAACGAACAGGGCGGATAGAAGGACGGAGAGTGAAACGAGCAAACACAATAACGAATGGAGCAGACGGCCAGGCGCGCGATTCTCGCCAACTCGAGACTTTCTACGTCTTCTCTTTTTGGAGGAAAGTGGAGAGCTGGAGAGCTGCGGTGAGTTCTGCTGCAGCTGTTTTGTGCATTTCGGCTTCTCGTAATCGCTGCATCGCGTCAGCAGCCAACAGCAGTCGGCAGCCCCCACTCCAATTGCCCCACTCTGTCTCAGTTGTTGTCCCCCTACGACACGATGCCAGCGTGCATCATTCGAGGCCTCAAGGCGCTGATACGTGGCGACAACACTTTCATCCCCATGGGCGAGTTCCGGCGCCTTTTCCACCAGCCATGGGAGACCTACAGGACGCCAGTGGGCCGCGAGCGGGGCGTTCCCGAGTACGACTGCCTAGCGGTGCCGCAGTACGACCTGGAAGACGTCCCCGACGACAGCTTCCCCCAGACGTACTTCAGGTGGGACGGCAGACATGCTGACGAGGACGTGGGAACCCACGGCGTCCCATGGCCATACTTCCACGCCGAGCGGCTGCCAAGCCACCCCCAAGACAGCCATCCCGCCAGCCGGTTCTCCAGGGACGGGCTCGGCAAGCGGAGCACACTGATGGCGATCGACATTGTTGAGGAGAGGGGGCGGGATTCGATGGCGAGAGTGCAGCGAGAGATCGATATGTTTCAGAGGGCGCAGAGGGAGGGACGGAAGCATTTTGCTCGTCTGAGAGGGGTAAGCCGGTTCGGTGTGATGGAATCTATGTATGGGGGGGAGCGGGTCATTCATTCACATCTCTGTCTTTGTGTGCGGCTCATGCTGTCTGTGTGTCTGTAACTGACATGCAGGCCTACCATTATCGCAAGCGCACATTCATGGAGTACGAGGACATGCGGGGGTGGCGCACCCTGGATAGTCAGCTGGGCGAGGGAGCGGGGAGGGTGATGAGTGAGCGAGACGCCAGCCGATGGGCCAGGCAGTTGATAGAGACACACAAGGAGCTGAGAGGGATGCGATACTACCATGGGTTCACACATAGCATAGACAAACAAAACGAATACGTATCCATGCCACCAATGACTGCATGCTATGCTCGTGTCTGTCTGTCTGTTTTGGCTGCAGCCAAGGCAACCGCCGGGAATACCTTGTCGACAAAGAGGGCACCATCAAACTTGCAGATGTCGGCACAGGGGCTTTTGCACGCTACCGCAATGTCAGTCAGTATTCACACGCGCACACACACACAGCCGGAGGGGACGGCTCTCATGAATTTTCTTATCTCCGACGTGTGTGTGCCGTGTGGGTGTGCAGGATGGCACGGTCAATGTGTTTCGTCAGCGTGTCACGAACAATAAGGCCACACCACCAGAGGTCAGTGCACAGACATACACACAGACAGAGGCGAATGGATCAGACGAGGGACACTGATGTCTATGTGGGGGTAGGCATGTGTGTGTGTGTCTGTGTGTGTGTGTGTGTGCCCTTCAGGTCGTTGTGTCGAGTCGGTACAACACCAGCTTCGACCCGGAAAAGGCCTCCGTCTTTTGCATAGGGTACGCAGACCGACAGAAGAGATGGAGGGAGGGAGAGCGCCACATGCCCGTCAGTCACTTAACTCTGTGTATCGTCACTGTCGTCCATTACATCAGGCACCTTGTCGGCAACTTCCTGTCTGCCAAGACCAGCCCCCGCCCCCTCTCCCCCGGAGCCATCGACTTCGTCCGCCACGCCACCGCTGCCGACCCCTCACAGAGACCCACACTGGATGAACTGATGGTCCACAGCTGGTAAGGCATATAGACAGAGAGTTGAATGCTGCAGACCCTCCCTCATCGACCGTCTGTTTGGGTGCCTGAACGTGAAGAAGCGAGAATCGCGCCAAGAAACAAATTTAGGGAGACCTGTGAAAGGGCTCCGCCCCGAGAGCCGACGCAGCTTGGCGTCGTCCTCATCTGCCGCCCCGACACCCTCCCTCGCCATGACGGAATCGAAGTCTTTCGAAGTCCACCCTCCGGACGGCAGACCTTTTGTGCTTCTTTTCCCAGTGGAGCGCGGGCGCCGTCCGGACGCAGAGGCGCTCCTGCAGCACCTGCAGAGAGACGGGCGCGTCCTCAGGTCAGTGGAGCATCCGGTTATTGAATAGAGGAGTCCCGTCATTCAGCCGTCGACTACATCGCCAGAATCACCAGTGCGCTCGGTTTACTGACAGACAGGCAGACAGACAGACAGGCAGAAAGGCAGACAATGATGCGCGAAAGGAGAGACACCTGCAACCATATGTGTGCCCATTGTGTGTTGTGTACGCAGGTGAAGAGTTCTTCACACCACCAGGCAGTCCGGCCGCTGCGAAGTAAGCAGAAGGATGATGCCTCTGTGTATCAGACCTGCCTGCCCTCCCTCTGTGCGTGCCACAGATGTGGGCATGCCAACTCAATCTGTGCCCAGGGCTGCCCCTCCAGTCGCTGCCGGCAACCAAGGCGGCCAAGACCTTGTAGGGACGCACGACAGGGGCGATCCAGGGGAGAGCGTCATATGCGATGTGGATGCTCCGCAGTACAGGACGCTCAATGGGCTGCGGAGGGATGAGGAGAAGGTGAACAGATGGTGGGCGAGGCTGGGTTTCGACTCTGGAGCTCACCAAGTGCGAGGCCAGACGTAAATGTGTTTCTCTGTGTGCGTCTGTGTTTATGTGTGTGTTCAGCATCTCCCGCTTGGGGGATACGAAGAGAAATCCAAGTCGCATTTTTGCAGGGTCATCGCAAAGCAGTAACCTCACCGGTCGATGTCAGGGCCGGCCAGCGGATGCTGTCCGGGAGCTGTGATGGGACGGCCAAAGGTGTGGAACGTCGACACTGGGTGTGAATTCGCATGTCTCTGTCATTCCATGTGTGTGTCAGATGGCTGCCTACATTTTATATTCCGAGGCTTTTATCCATCCATCTCGCCGCTTCGCTGTGTCGCTCACCAGCCCGGCCGCCAGCAGCAGCAGCGGGCCCGTCTGTCTCCGCCTTCATTGACCACAGCCTGATGGCCCTGGCCGCCCCGCTGCCCAGCACAGCCGCACCAGAGAGACCTAAGCCTCCTACTGCCCCACCACCAGCCAGCGCCACCGACACACAGCCCGCCCCTCAGAATTGGAGCCCGCCAACATACGCAGCACCGAGCAGACAAGAAGCACCCCGTGACGAGGAGTGTTGCAGTCCCCCAGCTCCCTTCACCTCCCCTTCCCCCATTTCGTGTACGTGTTCGACAGCTCCGGCACCAGCGGCAGAAGCCACCTCCCTCCAGATAGCCACACGCATCATGAGCTTCCAGAAGCCCCTGGAGCCGCCACTCCACCGTGGCATTCATGTCTGTCTAGCTGAGGATTATTACCTTGGAGAAGCCTTCAGGTACGCGCTGTGTTTGGTGCAAATCGGACACAGGCAGACAGGCGGGAAGACAGCAAGGCAGTCTGATGGACGTATATCAGCCCATAACACCAATGCATGCAAAGTCATGCTCACTCCACTCAACTAATTTTCTCCATCTGTATGTCTGCTGCTTTCCATTTTCTCTCTGCTATCAGAAGGCACCGCCCCCTGTGGCCCCGCTGCCCTACACAGCCACACCAGCCGCACCGGAGGCCTTCGCCGCACCCCCACCACTGCCACAACCCGCCAACACCACCACAGAGCGCCCCGCACCTCCAGCGCCGCAGGACTGTTATGAGAAGACCATCGAGAGGCTGCGCGAGAGTCTGAGGGCCAACAGGGAGGCGAGAGAGAGGCTCCTGAGCCGCAGCCCCATGGCCCTGGATGGCATTCCGCCCCGCAAGAGCCACACTAGCCCGTGGCCATCGTGGGATAGGGAGAGGGAGAGGGAGAGGGAGGGAGGGACAAAAACAGCCGCGATGACGCCACCACGCCCACCATCAAGGCAGCCGCAGGCCAGCAGCAGAAACAGGCCGAGCTCCAAGCCCTCAAGCAGCAGATGGAGCAGGAGCGCCAGCAGCTGATGAGGGAGGACATGGAGCGCCAGCAGAAGGCCATCGAGGAGGCGCGCGAGGCGGCAGAGCAGCAGAAACAGGCCGAGCTCCAAGCCCTCAAGCAGCAGATGGAGCAGGAGCGCCAGCAGCTGATGAGGGATGACATGGAGCGCCAGAAGAAGCCCATCGAGGAGGCGCGCGAGGCGGCAGAGCAGCAGAAACAGGCCGAGCTCCAAGCCCTCAAGCAGCAGATGGAGCAGGAGCGCCAGCAGCTGATGAGGGAGGACATGGAGCGCCAGCAGAAGGCCATCGAGGAGGCGCGCGAGGCGGCAGAGCAGCAGAAACAGGCCGAGCTCCAAGCCCTCAAGCAGCAGATGGAGCAGGAGCGCCAGCAGCTGATGAGGGAGGACATGGAGCGCCAGAAGAAGGCCATCGAGGAGGCCCGCGACCAAGAGAGGCGTGCCGCAGAGGAGGCACGCGAACAAGAGCGGCGCGAGAGCGAGGAAGCCCGCGAGCAGGAGAGGCGTGCGGTCTTGGTGGAGCGGCAGCAGGAGAAGGAGGGCCTGATCGCTAAGCTGGAGTCTCAGAAGAGGATGGCATTGGCTGACTTGGCTGAGCGAGAGAAGGAGCAGCAGATGTTCCAACAGGAGGAACAACGCCTGCAACACGCCAACGAAGGACTCAGCTGTGAGCTCACGCGGCAGATAGACGACCTCAAGGCCCGGCTGGCACTGCACGAGGACTGGGAGAGAGCGCGGAAAGACCGCATGCGTGACAAGGAGATACAGACCGCCGCCGAAGAGCAACAGCAGCCCCAGGAGCAGCCGCCAAGCACCAGCCCGTGGGCCATCGTGGGAGAGGGAGAGGGAGAGGGAGTGAGGGACAGAGACAGCCGCGATGACGCCACCACGCCCACCATCAAGGCCGCCGAGGACCTCCCCACACAACCACATCCACCAACACCAGCAGCAGCAGAGGGCAAGGAGAGGGCCGAGGAGGGCCACTCACAGCAGCAGGAGCAGGACAGCCCGGAGGCTTCGACGGCTATGCCGGCGGCAAGTGCGTCGGATGTCAGCCCGTCATCGCCTGTTGCGGCACCCGCCCCCTCCCCCACCGCCCCGCCATCCGTCCCAACCGGCCCCACCATCAGCTGCAGCAGCATCCGGCTCGCCGACGTCGGTGGTGTGGCCAGCGGCAGGTGGCCTCACCTGCGCAAGATGTGCGCCATCCCCACGCACACCGACGGCACTGACGTGCCCGAGGCCGCCAGCTGCTGCCGCATCCCGGTCATCCGGAAGCAGGTCAAGAGGGACAAGAGGTGGCTGTTCCAGGACCGGTACGGGATGGTCGTGCACAACATCATGACACACCTGGCCATCTCCCGCCTGGCGCAGCCACCCTCACCGTGTGACCCGCCCACCACCACGGCAGCCGAGCAGCAGCAGCACGCCCTCGCCGGCGTCATGGCCGAGCCCACCGCCGACTTCTTCAGGGAGCTGGTGGCGAGACAGGCGACCATTCGTGGTGGTGCCGCCTGGCGGCCACGGGCAACCCGTTCTTCGCCACGCCATTCCTGGCCTGCGGGAATGGGCACCGGCTTGGCGAGAACGAGACCACCGCGGCCATCGAGGTGTGCGAGGCCGACGAAGTCCTGCCGCCCGACCACGCCCTCATCCTGACGGTGCCCCTCTTCCCCCCCGGCCCCCCCACCAGCTGCTACTCGGTGCTGCCCCTGCTCGACCAGCGGAAGCCGCTGCTGATGCAGCAGCACAACCTCCACACCGAGGAGGAGTGGGCGGCGTGGCGGGCCGAGAAGGCCAACAAGTCGGGGCTGGACTTCGGCGAGACGGGGGACGTGTGCAGGGCACTGCAGGTAGTGGGGGTTGAGGGAGTGGAGCAGGAGGCGGCGCGAGTGGTGATGATTAAGGACATGTTTGACAAGTTCATGATGATGCGTGAGGTGAGTCACACACACACATGAGAGGGGAGATGACAGACTGAGGGAGATGCGCTCATCTGTCCTGTCTGTGCGTCGGTGTGTGTGCAGACGGTGGTGCCGGTGGTGGATGACGAGTATCGCAGCGCCCTCTGCAACGCCACAGCGGAGGAGGACATCTTGGCGGCCGGGATGGAGCGGGCCAGGGGCGACAGCAGCGGCGCACCATTCGTTTGGGGCGACCTCACTGGACCCTCGGGACCGTCGGCAGATACGAGCTGCAGCTTAATGCCGGGGGCACGGGTCGCTTCGTGCTGCCGGGTGTGGTCTTCATCGACCCCAGCGGCACCTCTCGCGGCACGATCTCGGCCCTCCCCGGCAAGACCAGCTACGAGACCCTCGAGAACAAGCTGCTGGCCGAGCTGCCGAAGAAGCTGCCTGAGGGCGTCGACTGGGGGGACGTGGCGGGCTCGCTGCTCGAGTACGGCTGGGCTGACGAAGAGGAGGGCGTCGATAGCGGGGAGGACTTCTGGTCGGCCACCAAGTCGGCCATGGAGGCCCTCCACCCGCCCGGCGTGTACGTCTCGAAGAGCCTGCCCCCTCTCCCAGAAATCGACGTCGACAAGACGGCCTACCTCTACGCCAGGTCCTGGGAGCCCAAGAACCGGCCCCAGCAGCAGAAGAAGGACCTGCAGCGCATGAAGAAGCTGGGCAAGGCGGCGGAGTACGAGCGCATCTACAAGGAGGAGCTCAGCAAGGCCAAGTGGCCCGACACGCTCCTCCTGTGCGCCAAGGGGATCGACAGCCAGGCTGCCTGCCATGCCAAGGCTGACGAGATCCTCCAGTCGCTGCGCGACCGCCACGTGCAGTCATCCTTGGTCGACCTGGTGGAGGGGTGGCGGAAGGAGGGAGCCGCGGAGGTGGAGACATGGGTGGGGATGGTGAATGAGAAGCTCATAAGCCTGCTGCAGGCCGCCAGAGCCATCATCTACTGCCACACCAGTGCGAGGGCCGATGAGAGGGGCGAGGAGGTGCGGGCACAGAGGGTCAGCCACCAGCTGGGAGAGCTGCTGCCGGGGTGCGAGGCCGTGCCCTTTATCCTGCACCCCTGACCAACTCCCCCCCATCCCCCTCCCCCGCACTCTAGGAGCGCCGCACGCCCGTGCGATGCGGAGGAACACAGCCGTCCTCACGCAACAGGAGGTATGGGTAGACCTAAGGATGCACACGATGTATGCAAATTCAGCCAGACACGTACAGATTCGCATGTCTCTGTCATTCCATGTGTGTGTCAGATTGCTGCCTACATTTTATATTCCGAGAGTCTTATATGCCCATTTCAACGTGCAAGTGGAGGGCGTGCAGGTGGAGACAGTGGTGAAGATGGTGAACGAGAGGATGATCAGCCTGCTCGAGGCCGCCACAGCCACCATCTTCGTGCAAACCAGCGTCAGGCCAAAAGAGAGGGGTGAGGGAGGGCGGATGCCCTTGATCAGCGACCAGAGCCAGCTGCTGATCGAGTGCGATGCCGTGCCCTTTATCCTGCCCCACTGACCAGCCCCTTCCCCCTCCCCCGCACCCTAAAGAGCACCAAACCGCACGGGAGGCCACACCACATACCAGGGAGGCCAATCATGCCTCAGGCGGGGAGGGCCCGGATGCGACTGCTGAGTGTGTATGTATGTCTGAGTGCGTGTCTCTCTGTGTGCGTGTGTCAGATGGCTGCCTACATTTTATATTCGGAAGCCTCTTCTGTTTGTCGCAACCATGCCCGCTCGTCTACTGCTGCCTGCATTTCATATCATCGTCTGCCTGCTTGAGTGTGGTGGCGAGACGGACCATTGTATCGACAGACTGAGTCGTGACTGAATGTCGTTGCTCCACCGACACGGTCATCAATTCTTCGCGAGGACTAGGGTAGTAGCGTAGGACCATTCCGCAAAAAGCACACGTTGGACAAAACCACGCACGGATCACGTGTCGCAACCAACCAACGAAAGAGAGAGAGGAAGGCAGACAAAGGGGAACAATATATCGATCAGTAAATCCACGGTGGGACAGAACACCTCTAGTGCAGTGACGGATGAATGAGTGATTGCAAATCCACAATATCCACACACAACACATGCAGACACATACATACATACAGACAGACATACATACACATATATGTACTACATTGCCTTTCCTCTACCAAACAAACGCATGCACGCTGATCTACCTATCTACAGCCAGGGCGCCTCCTGCACGCACACACACACGCAGACATACACTCATTCGCACTGCTCTCTGCGTCTCGCCAAAGTGACTGCCGAATGACTGACCATGTTTCAGGGGTCGTCGTCGTCCTCCGCCTCCATGCCCTGCTCTTCCTCTTCCATGGCCTCCATGCCCTCATCCGCATCGGCCTGCCCGGCCTCTTGGTGTGGGAGGAGAAGGCTGAAGGACATATCGCCACCACCATGCAGGCCTGTAATAGAATGGAATGAATGGAGCATAACAAATAATCAGTATACCGTCTCCGTCATGAGCAGACCTTTTCCGCCTGAGCCCCAGTGACCTTCCGGCCCTTTCTCCCCAGTCTTGGCCGTGGCCTTGCTGCCATCATGTCTGCGAACGGTGCGACGACGCTGCGCACGCTGTGTGTCGTCTGTGTGCGGCAGGGGGGAGCTGTGCTGGGTGGAGAGAAGACAGATGCGGTGCGCCAAAGCTGACGGCCGACCGCTGAGCTGCCTGAAATGACTTGGCTGTCACGTATCTCCCCAGTGGCCCTTTGGCTCTTCAGGGAGTGGTCGTCGGCGCGCCCACTGCATATCTGGCGCATCGTCTCATCGCTCGCAGCGCCTACACGCAAACAGTAAGCAGCAAGCAGGACATGTGTGGAGAGAAAGGCTTGCCAGCAATGCGTCCACCCATTCGCTTCTTACGTCGGCGGGCAGCATCCTTGTGTGTGGATGGGAGGGGGGCGCGCCTGTCTGTGTCGGGCAGGCTGCTGGGTGACGGCTCGCCCTGCGTGTCAACAATATAAAGCATGCAGCCAAAACACGTCCACGAATGTATTGACACGTGTGAATGCGTTCTGTACTGTGCATACCTCATTCGACAGCGGCCTAGCCAGGACGTCGGCCCAGTGCGTCGCCGACAGGAACGCCATCTCCAGAAACGGTTTGGTAGGAGAGGTCACCTGGCACCACACACCGCAAAGCGTTGCATAGCCGTTGGTTGTGTGCCGAGCTCATTCGCTCACCTCCACGATGCCGGTGTCCCGCCCCGCTATTCTCATGACGAACATGCGACGGTTGCCCTCCTCACGCCACTCGACAGTCGCACAAGACGACTGCACCCACACATACGCACACACAGTGTGTTTTGTTGTGCTGTGGGCGATTGCTGGGTGTTGGGCTACCCTCCCTTTCTCCCCACCTACCGTGGGTCTGCAGCTCTCGATCATCTGCTGAGCCATGAACCTCATCAGCCCATCGGTCAGCGGCGTCGCGAGGACCAGCTGAGCAGCGTCCATGCATTCATGTGAGCTGCCGCGGTCGATCGCCAGCCCACTCCGATCCGTCGGCTCTCGCCCCTGTTTGCCGCAGTGTGTTGGCGTAAGGATGTCGGAGGAGAAGGTGTCGATGCCACAGAGTGTGTCGAGCAGCGGGTCGTAGCAGAGGTATCGAGAAGACCCTGACGGCAACGCCCCACTCGACCTCCTGCCCCCACCTGTGTCGGCTCCCTCTGCAGGGATTGGCATGGCCGGCTGCTGTGGGTGTCGGGACTGGTCGCTCATGTGCAGAGTCGCCATGTTCTCGTGAATGTGTGGTCGCAGCACGTGATATATCTTTTGCTGTGTGTTCGCCAAGTGTTGCGGTCCACACACGCAAAAGACATATCAGAGGCACATATGTGTCGTCGGGGCTGCGCTGTAGGTATTTACCTTGTTCGCGCTAGATCCGTCTTCGTCGCACTCAGCCGACCGTTTCTTCTTGCGATTGGTGCTGGCACGCTGACCACACACACACGCAGAGTCGCACACACACGTGCCTGCGTATCAATGAGTACGTGTGTCATGTCGTGTGGTGTTGGTGTGGTGTGGTGTGGTGTGTACGGGAGCATAAAGGCGCAGAGGCGCCCCTGACGACGCCAAATCGGACATGTCAAACCCCTGTACGTACACAGACACACACGTGTGTGTATGTATGCATTGGTGCATTGCAATGCATCTTCTTCTGTGCAGTGTGTTGTGTTGTGTTGTGTTGTTCTTGATGTGTGTACCCGTTGCTCATACAGGCTGACAGTGGGATTGATTTGGTTAACCCACCTGTCACGACACTGCTTGGCGACGCGACCTGCACACACACAAAGAGGCGAAGCACATCCACCCAGGCACAACCACACGCTCACAGAGAGCCTTGTCTGTCTGTCTGTCTTCTCTGTACCTGGCATGTGCTTGGCGATCTCTACCCACTTGCATCGCTCCGTGTGGGTCTGCATCAGCGACGCCAGCATCGCGTCCTCCTCGGGCGTCAGATGCTCTGAGAGCGGCGCACAGCCTTGGTCTTGTGCGGCTGCGCCAGGGGAGGGGTCGCGACTCGAAGATAGCGACTGCGCCAGAGGGCCCGCGTGTGTCTGCTGCGACAGGTGGCCCGTTGGACCACCATGCCGGTGAACAAGCGTCCTCTCAGGCGTGCAGTCGGCTGTCGAGAGATCACGGGATCCCGACATTTTGTCCACATCAATCTGCCCTCCTGACGCTTTCTGCTGGCTCAGGAGCTGCCGATAATGACGTGTGCCGTCGCTGGTGGCATCGTTGACGCCCCGGCGGCTGTCGGCTGTCGGCAGAAAGGATGAGAGTGGAAGACGCGAACAAGGTGAGAGTCCCCGAAGCAAGATCGGAAGGTTGGCGAAGCGCAGAACCACAGGGATCTCCCGTAGACCCTTTTTGTTTTGGGAATTGAGAGCGAGGCCAGCAGTTTCACGGAATGTCCTGCTCTAGCCGGCGTAAATTTCGAGCTTCCCGAACTATAGCCACATGCGCCTGCTGTTTCTTGCCTTCATCCTGTCATGCACACGGACAATAGCATCAGGTGAGCCTTATACGGCAACAGAGCCGACGCAGCACCATCAGATCTTTCGTCTTTTGCTCATGTGCAGGACTGATCAGCACCGCTCCGTCCATCCCTCAGGTGACCGCCACGTGCGCCCAGGTGGAGTTCCAGTACCGCGGTGACCGGGATAGCCTCACCAACACGTACCTCCCGCCATCCAGGCTGCACATCTATGCCAGAGCCATCGGCAAGGGCATCCCCCCGGACGCATGGGTGCAGTGGGGCGCCGCGGGAGCCATCACACCCGTGCCAAACAAAAAGTACGCACAAGGAAAGAATGGGCGGGCTTTGATTTGTTGATGGTCATTGCTGCGGTTGTGTATGGTGTGTGCAGTGGATTCTTCCGGACGTTGCTGCGCGGTCTTCCTCCAGGGACTGAGTTTGCGGTCAAGCTGACTGCAGACGATGATCCGGTGACGCAGCGATTCAGCCCGCCCAGCAAAGCCGTCAAAACACTGGAGGAGGCGCTGAGTACGAACGAAGATGGAATGGATGTCAGGTATCCATCCATGGGCGGATGGCTTCTGCGCTGTGTGTATGCCTGTCAGACCCGCCTCCTTCACATACAGTGAAGGTCCATCGCACCGACCCCAGGCTGAACAAACAGAGAGTGGTGGGCAAATGCGTGTATCGTATCGCGGCGCCCTTCCCATCAGCTTCTGTGCTTTGGTTGGTCAGCATCCGACTGGGGCTCAGTCTGTCTGTGTGGATGTGCACTGGCACCATCCCCACCTCCCCAGTGACTTCTCCAACAGCCCCTTTGATACGTTCTTCACTGGTGGGTAAGCCACCAGCTGCTGAGGCAGGAGAGCGGGATTCCGCCTCTGCTTTTGTGTGTGTCCCTCTATCTGTCCAGTGTCTGCCAAGTACCGTGACGAGCCTCCATGGGCTATCTGCGAAGACTATCGTGCTGAAGACTACACAATCAAGGTGACGCCTGCATCCATCATACATGGACGTCAGTGCCGTTGGCATCTTCGTTATGGTACCTCTTTACCACTCAGCGTAATTGCGGGCATCCCGTGTACTCGTCCCTCCAGTACTATCACCCGTGGAGGTCAGGGAGACCCACACAGACCACCCATGCCATCTCGGCTGAGGTTCTTGACGCATGCTCTTGCCAGGCCAGCATCGGCGTATCATACGGTGTGCGGTCTTCGAGATGGCCACAACATCACATTCGAAGTGGCGACATACAAGTAAGACGCAGAGACGGATGGATGGATGGAGATAGTGAGGGAGATAGTGAGGGAGATAGGGGGGGAGATAGGGGGGAGGGCGGGAAAGACATTCCAAAAGCCAGAGGGAGAAGGTGTCTCTTCCCTGCTATGTGTGTCAGTTGCGACGGTCCCGGCCCGTTGACAGAGATGACGGCCCCTCTGCCGCCAAAAGGTGCGCACCAGCCTTCAATACACAGGCCGGCGTGTGTGTCGATATATGTATGCTGATCTTTTCTCAGCCCCTGACGTAGTGCGCCGCATTCATGTCCGCGATCGCACCATCTACCTCGACTGGGTGCCGCAGCATAGCCCATGGATCAGCGGCTACGCCATCTACCTGGTGGGTGGGCAAGGAGAGGGGACACAAGGGGTACCCACACACACACACACACGGAGATGACATGTGTGGGGGTATGGTGTTGTGCAGGGTTTATCGGGCATGGATGCGATGAAGCTGCTGTGTTATGTGCCGCTGCACGAGGGCGGGTCTGTGGACCTGCCTTTGATACCCCTCGACATGAAGAAGACACTCGTCATACAGGACAGACTGCCGGTAAGCGACAAATGCAATGCATGACCATCATGGATGGCCATTCTTTGTCCGTGTGTCTGTTTGTCTGTCAGCTGGGATGGGACGCCTGCAATGACACGCGCACCATCAAGCAGCAGCAGGAGATCGGCGTGTCCGCCAGACTCATCTATGGAAGTAACCCACTGGGACGACACGAGGATGTCTGTGCCTTTCTGTGCCGCCGTGCAGGCGAGTCCCCCCTGTCTCGCGCGCCGCTGAATGGCTGGATCGTCGATGAGGACAAACTGAGAATGAAACAGAGGAAAAGTACGGACTCACGTGTGTGGATGTGTGTGTGTGTGTGTGTGTGGATGTGTGTGGATGTGTGTGTGTGGGTCTGTCGGTGATTTCTCTGTGCTGTGTTCAGATCGAGGCGAGTGGAGGTGTTGGCGGCACATTCCGCCTCCAACACCCCTCAATTCATGACTCGATGCGGCCATGCAGATGTGTGTGTCCGTGTCAGTGAGTGTGCCTGAAGACTATTCATTTTTCATTGAACGAAAAGGTGGGGACAGATTTGCAACATGCTGCCGTAGGCTGACAAGCACCAGCTTGAAGGCCACTCACACACGGACAGGAAATCGGCCAGCAACGATCCGGCCACTGCGAGCTTGGATTCTCCACTTCTCCTCCCTTCTTCCCC